CTGGAAGGCAGTGCTGAGGGTAAAGCGGCAGGTGATCGGGCTGGACGGCGGGTATGAGTGCGGGATGTCGATGAAGACCACCTGGGAGAAGTTTGGAGCCGGTGGGTCAGTCGCCGCTGCTGCCGCGTCCGGGAGGGGCTCCATACTGACCTACCGTCTGACAACTAAACACCACATCATAAGTTTGATTACAGTAAACCGATAGCAAAGGTCGACAATAACTTATTTTTACTGCGAGTTTCCACCCTTCATTCTTCCTGGCATTGTTTATTCGCCTTAATGCGCATTTAGAATTATACTTTCGGTTTGACTCTGTCCTATTCAAGCTACTGATCAACGAACCACTTCACTTCAATCTGTTGTCATATAGCTATTCAAGTCAATTTTACATCTTAGCAAAATTTATTTATATAAAGACGGAGGAACTTTAAGCCATAAAACCGAAAGTGATTTTTTTTCACTGCGCATTGTATTCACATTAATTTAAAACTGGAAAAAAAGATTAGCACTGATTGGTCCTAAAGAATTTAGTGAAATATAAGATAGGTTTGAGATAAACACCTTTAACTTACGCTTAGTTGAAGCAGTTCTGATCTTTCGGTCCGCTTTGCATAGCCAGCAAGTGATGCGTTCAAGTACAACTCGGATCTTTATACTACCGCTGCCTGCAACAAACGATGACACGCTGCGCACGTAGTAATAAAATCTTATTTAACATCAGATTTAAAATACATGTACTTTCAAATATATATTTTATACAACATTGAAAGTCACTACCACTTATCCTGTGGGCTGTCACGGCTGCTTGGTTTTAAAAAATGCAGGGCAAAGTAGTTTAAGCAAAAATGGTTTAATCGTCCATTTTTATTAAATCACAACGTTTAACTATAAACATACAATAAAATACCATAAAACAGTTCATTCTTTACAAGTTATAAATCACCCACGTTTGAGATTGTAAAAAAAGTTCCGATTATTTTATTTCAGATTATGTTGAAGACATCAGCATCATGGGAAATGCAGTTCTTTTAATCTTTTAGTTTTATTAAAGGAATAGTACACCCAAAACATGATTAGCCTTCATTTTCTACTCACCCCCATGCTGAACAACACCCTGGAGTACTTTTTTGATATCTCAAATGCATCTGGAGATCTGGGAGGCTTCTTACTGTCTGCTGACGTTCAAATAATGGAGGTCTACGGTGCCCGAGCGAAAAAGGTCCATAAAAGTCCACAAAAAACGTGTCAATATTCCTCCATACTGCTCGTCCAATGTATTCCAAGTGTCCTGAGTGGGTAGCATCCAGAATTTACTCGAAACGAAGTCATTTAGAATGTTTTTAGAGCATAAACAGTAGTGTATAGGATTTCCTGAAAGCGCGCGCCAGCGCGTTCACGACGCTACAGAAGCCGGCAGACCAAACCAGATGAAAGTGCGCATTCAGCGTCTGCTCTGCCAATAATGCAAGCGTAGAAGAAGAAATGTGCTCTTTACCTGTGCAAAGAAAGAAACAACGAAAGAAAAATGTCTGAGGACTTCAGTGTTGAGGAAGAGCATGAGTTCTTTGCTGAGCTGAATGCGCACTTTCGTCTGGGTTGGTCTGCCGCGGTTTCCGTAGCGCCGTGAACGCGCTTTCAGGAAATCCTATACACTACTGTTTATGCTCTGAAAACATTCTAAATGACTTCGTTTCGAGTAAATTCTGGATGCTACCCACTCAGGACACTTGGAATACATTGGACGAGCAGTATGGAGGGATATTGAAACGTTTTTTGTGGACTTTTATGGACCTTTCTGCCTCGGGCGCCATGGACCTCCATTATTTGAATGTCAGCAGACAGCAAGAAGCCTCCCAGATCTCCAGATGCATTTGAGATATCAAAAAAGTACTCCAGGGTGTTGTTCAGCATGGGGGTGAGTAGAAAATGAAGGCTAATCATGTTTTGGGTGTACTATTCCTTTAAAACCCACTCGGTGGAGCCAAACTCCTCCTTGCCGCAGAGCTAAAAAAAAATAGTATTATTTGCTAAATAAATTATCAAATAATTGGCTTATATATTCTCATGTTTTTTTTTTTTACATGATTAAGTGTTTATGTTTTTTTTCTTTAATAGTATTCTAGCAGTGGAAGTGTTTAAATAAAACTTTATGCTTTTGAAAGAAACATTCATATTTTTTAATTGGATGTTATTTGATACATTTTAATTTTGAAGGCCAAGAAAAGTGTAATAAACAAGTTCAATTCAATTTATTTATATAGCGCCAATATACAACATCTCCAGGCACTTTACAGTACACCAGATCTGCAATCCCTCACACTAAGCATGCTTGTAGTGACAGTGGAGAGGAAAAACTCCCTTTTAACAGGAAGAAACCTCCAGCAGAACCAGGCTCAGTGTGAGCGGCCATCTGCTGAGGCCGACTGGGGTTCAAGGAGACAGAAGCAGAGATACAAAAAGCAGCTGTAAAAGGTGGCCTGTCCAAGAAACACAGCCAGGCAGACGAGCTCTGAGCCAGCTCCCATGTCAGAGGATGAAAAGAGCACATCCAGCCAGTCACAGTCAGAGAAACAGGACTACACTGGAGAAACAGGCCAATCTCCAACATCTATAAACAAAGGTGTTGTTTATAGTCAGCTAATAATAAATGGAGGTTATCATCACTTATTTCAATGTCGATATTAAGCTAGCTGTTTTGTGAAGACACAAGCCATTTTGGGAAATAAAGCAGAAATGTGGAATTGATCTAAAGAGATAAAAGTTGACATTTTTCACCAAATGTAAAATGAAAACTGGCAGAGATCCAACATCCTAAGCACACCATACAGACAGTCAAACATGAAGGTGGGTCAATATTTCTGACTCAAGTCCTACCATGGGAGTATTTCTCTTATAAAGGGACTGGGGGGCTGTTCAGAGTCATTCAGGATATATATGAACAATAAGGAAATCCTTTAGAATATGTCTTCTTTAGGTATTTTAAATGATTATACCTATTTAATGTAACGATTTGACCCTCTCATCAAACTCTGATTTTTCTACATCAAAACATCTGCATTTTATTTTTATGATATTAAACCTATCGTGTGCAATTAAATACACTGTTCTCCTCAGTTTGAAATGCACATTATTACACATTAGTTTTTTCTAAAGTCCCGGCTTCGCCATTTTGCTTGTTATTAAGCATTTCAAACTATTCATCAGCACTTGCAGTTGTGTTTGTATGCCCTCCCATGAAAGAAAATGGTAAATTCCCACTAGTAATTCATATAAAACCAAACTGAAAAAACAAATAACTATTAAGGATTTACTAAATGATCATTTAGTAAAACAAAATATTGAATTTGAATTTTTATTTTAAAAAATAATTTAAAAAAACCAAACTGTTCCAAGAAAATTAAATAACTTTGCTTATGAACAGTCAATCAACATACCTAACCATTTCCTGAACATTACAGAAAACACCAGCCTCAAAATGTCACTCAATGTTACTCCATTTTTTTTATTTTTTATTTATAATTATATATAGAATTAATATTAGGTTAATTATATATATATCTAATATTAGTATTTTTTTCAATTTACATTTTTTTTATTTATATATATATGGCATTAGCAGCACAACTCAAACCTTTGCAGTTCAACATTTGTCTATAAGCGAAACATGTTTTTGTTTAGAACATTTAAAAGCAATTCAACAAAGTTCGCTTCACTCTAAAATCAACTGTTTTAACTTAACAAAAAAAAAAAAACAATGCAACAGTTTGCATTAATATTCTGAGTTATAAGAACTTATGAAATTATGTTCAGACAGCAAACTGCTTTAAATTAGGTAAATTACCTTTCCCTGATCAGAGGTAAATGAAATCCCCTGTTGCTTAAGAACTGGTAGTATAAATGCTGACAAGTTTTAAAAGTTTCCAAACAGTATTCCAGCATTTTTCAAAGGGATTGTGAGGTTATGAACTTCATTGCCATAATTATAAATATATGTTTTGAATTTGCTAAATAAATAAAAAAGAGTTGCCAAGTTGTTAAGCCAATGACCATTAAAAAAATGTAAGTTATTTCACTAATTAGCCTTAAATTACAGTATTTTTGCATCTGCAAAGTCTCACTTACTTCAGGGCGACAGTGAAAGAATCATAATGACATTCAACACATCTTAAGATCTTAACCAAAAATGTAGTGCAGCTTTTATGCCCAGGAAAAATACAAACTCTTACTAGTATTGCAGCAGTAAACACAATCATTTACTACACAAACAAGCCTTACTCATTCCTATCTCTCTCTGCAACTGATATATCCACAAAGGCAACACTGGGTGAAATTAGGAAAAAAATAAAAATAAAACTTTGCATCTACCACTTTTATCCCTACTATCTATTACTTTTTTGGCAAATTTTTGTACAAAAAATGGCATGGAATTGCAATGCTATCTAAGTTAATAAAGTATCTTATTTACTCATTATTAATTAACCTTATTAATGTATGTCACACAATATAGTTGAGGCTTACAGGAATAAGCAGTAATTTAGTCATGCTTTTCCTCCCACACATCTAAGAGGAAAGAATGATGAATTGATGTCAATCAGCTATGAAAGCCCAATGGGTGGATTAATGGTCAAGAAAAGTAAACTACCTAGATTTTCTAAAAAGTTAAACCTTCATAACCTACTCATACATAAACCTGCTCCATATTTGACATTACAAAACAAAACTTTAAATGTATTTGGTTTATATTTTATTAGGTCAAATTAATGTAAAGATAAAATTTTAAAGCCAGTATTTAATTTATAACTTTAGCTGACATATATTTAAACTTTTATGGTAACATAATCTTTTGAAATTCTAATTAAACTATGCTATTGTTTTTGTAGTTTTACCTTTTGCTAGAGCTTATAGTGGAATAGATCAAGAAATGTCTCATCAGACTACTTGTGTGAAACATTCAGAACACCTTTTAATGATTTAATATTTGAAATGTCTCAGTGCGCTGAGCTGCCTGGAGATATGGCCTGAGGGAGGCGGCGGAGGATGAAGACTGGACTCTGTTTGGACTGACCGTGTTAGGGGCATGAAGCTCTACCAGGTGTTTAAGTCAGTAACTACCTCATTACTGCCATCATCAGGACAAACCACAGCGGCTGAGATCAGCTTCACAAATTAACCGTGTAATTACATTTGTGCTGGAGAGAAGTGAATTCAAAATGCGATCTTCTGTTGTAATAGAGCCTCTTCTTCAGGGAGAGTATCCGTAGCCCATTTCTCTCAGGTCGAGCTTTTAATTTCTGACCTACTGTAGCGTGCTTATACAGCCTGTTTAACAGGGTGTGACAAATGCACCAAGTTCCCCTCTTGAAGATGAACTAAATGGGGACATAATCATTCATAAAAAATGTATTATATTAATGGAGACAGTCCCTTCATGCTGTGTAAACATGCTTGTCTTTGCAGAAAATAAACCATTTCCCAGGGATGATTGAGATCTGCTGCACAGATTCTCTGATGGGGGACTTGAACCAAATGCTGAAACTTTTCTCCAAAGATTACAAAATATTTCCCAGAACATGGAGCTTTCCTGCAGAGTCAGTTTTCCTTCTGTCTCACTGCTACATGACATTTAATTACACCTTAAATGTATCACTTACTAGATGATTTGACTTTGCAGCTACAGTGACTTCTAAGCCTACTCCAGAGCCAAATAACGCAAAAGTTGCTTCAATAAACCAGATATCGGTGCCCATAATAAAAGCATCTGTTAGGAATCCAGTTCGTGTGGTGTGTGTTTTTGTGTTGTTCTCTCTTTCCACCACCAGGTGGAGCCCTGTTCTCGTTGGTCCTCCCACGCACCTGCGGCAGGTTGGCTCATTACTGAGGACTATTTGAGCGGTGGACTGTCACTACTACTCGACGCCAGAGCGTTAGCCAGTTTTGGGTACTCTAGCCAAGCTGAATTTTGCTGAGTCAAACTGAGGCTATGTTTTTTCGCTGAGCCTAACCTACTTTTTGTCTTTGCCTTTTCGGCAGGAAGCCTTCCTGCAAGCTGGATGTTTGGCCTTCTTCCCCTGGAAGGATTGTTTGAGTCTCACACTGAGCAGGGGATTAACCTCCACTCTGTCATGATCAGGCAGGATTTCTAGCCCAAATGTAGAACTCACAGACAGAGAGGCAGGATAAAAGTCCAATAGTTTAATGGATGCAGACAGGGTTCTACCTGGGAGGCAGAGAGGACACAGCAGGTTAGGTTCAGGTTCAGGCTTACAGGTTCAGGTTTACAGGTTCAGGTTTACAGGTTCAGGCAGGCAGGGTGGCTCAGGCTTGCTAACCACGACCAAAGTCAACAATCCGGCCCAGAGTGGAGCTCTCCTCCAGCTTGTGAAGGGAGAGCTTAATGAGCAGATGGGGATCAGCTGCTTCAAATGAGCAACAGCTCTCAGGAGCTCCCAACCGACAGCAGAACCCCTCAGAAAGGGATCCACGTCGCCTTCTGGAGGGCAGATCTCTGGATCCCAACACACAAGTTCCGTTCAAGTCCTCCTGGATTCCCAAGTGACAGTCCTCTCAATAGCTCCTCAGGATCCTACCAAGTCTAAACCTGTCCGCCCTCCAACGAGTCTCTATCTCCGGAAAAACCCACACTAACTGGATTCTGGGAAAAAAGGGTATTCTCAACCAACGTGAGTTCCGTTTTCTCTGTCTCTCCAGTCATCGCTCAAAGTTCCCACGGATCCTGAACTAACCGCTGATACTTCCCTTCCCTCTTCCAGTTCCGGTTCACCAGCGCACTGAGTTTCCTTAATCCTACCCCCGCTGTCCTTATCAATAAACCTGTTCAAACTTTTACCCTGGTTCTCTGAGTCGTTTACTGCATGTGGGTCAGATCTCTTAAGAAAATCATGACAGCATCAGGATCAATAAATCAAGTAAAAAAAAAATCAAACCTGAAGCACACATGATCTGTCAGGCTTACATATCCAAGATGACACTCTTGTAAGCAACACATGCTAGCGAAAAGCATCCCCAAAGTATTCATATTCTCTAAGGCTATTTTTTAAACCTTTTTTTTTTTACATCACAGCCAACTTCAACATCTAGGAACAAAGGCAGAAAACTGAGAAAACAACAAGCAGTCCAGTAGAGTGACAGAAGAATGCAGCAATGAGCAATAGCAATCAGTGAGCTTATATACTTCAGGGAAGAGTGGAGAATGACACGAAAGCACTTGTGTTAATCGAGGGGTTATGTGGAGCAGCTGGGAAGGAAGGAAAGAAGGGTGCCTGATGGAAAAGACCAGTAAATACTGAAGGAAATCAACTAAAACCAAACCAAGAGGAAACCTCTAGCACAAAGGGCATGGATTAGCGGACCACAGTATGGATCGGGACCCACTTGCTGGCTGATCTGGACCCAACCTGATTTAAAACATTTATAAATTACCCTATGTTGTCCAATAGCAGTGTCTAATTTCACTTGCACCACTACTTCTATTTGTACGTTAAAGCCCTCCAGAGCATCCGGTACCAGGTTGCACGTGATACAAATTAGCCAATGAGCTGCTGTCAGTCTGGGTTGCTGCTGCTGCTACTTTTAGACTCAGCGGGCAAACCTGTGACAAGACGGGCGATGAGAAAGAAGGAGAAGACATTGAGAAAAATAGAGCAGAGAAAGTGTGGACTGCTGGAAGAACTGCGGTGAACTGGTGAAATAAAAGTGAAATGGCGTGCTCAAAGATGACCCTGCACATTTTGAATATGTTTGGCTCAACCTGCTGCTGTGAAGCAGGATTCTCCACCATGAACAGAATCATAAATAAATATGGACCCAGGCTCAAAATGAGCACTTTGATATGTGCTTGAGAATGGCTTAGTCTCGATTCAAACCCAGGTTTAAAGCCTTGCAGGGAAGCCTAAAGCCCACTGCTCTCATTAAGACAGAAAAAAGAAAGAAAAAAGAACAAATTGTCAGTTCAGGTGTTTTATGAAAAATATTAATCAGGAAACTGTCTATATACCACAATGAACGATTGTTGTTCTCTACTCAAAAAAACACCTTAGATTTTTAAATGGAAAAATGTTCTATATTTTTAAATATATTTTTGATTTACAAAGTCGATGTATAACATGGATGCATAAACACCTAATTTTATTTCAGTGTTAAATTTTGTTTAAAGTAACAGATTATATTTAAAAATGTCTGGTTGTTGATTTTCTTTATTCGGACCCCATTGATTTTTAATTGGTTACCTCTGCTCTAGAAGAATGCGACTTAACAGGCTGAATAAACAATAATTAGAAGGGTATTAAAACTATATGACACCTCGTTTCCATTTTAAAATCACTTACCATCTTGTTGTCTGTTAAAATCGATTAAACATTCATATTTGTGGCTGGGACATGGAAAAGAAGAAGCAGTGGTTACATAGACGAAATTGTGATATCAGAAGTTGGGGGGGATACAGCTATTTTTTTAATGTAACTACCTTTAGCGTGTTTCACCATCCATTCACAGACCTGCTTCAGTGGTGCATCAGATACTTGCAAAGTGAGCTTCTCACGAGTGACAGGCAATCACACAAAATAAGAAAGTGGGCCAATCAGGAGCTTGTGGGCGGTTTGAACTCAGGGAAGTGGGCAGCTTAATCTACAGTTTTCCGTTTGGTCCTAGTGCTCATCAACATACTGTAGCTGTCAGGATTTGGTTGTGGTTTGAGGACCCAAATGTAGAGGCAGGGACGCAGAGGTTAGTTTATTGTAGATTTAATAAAAGGTTAACAGACAACTGAAGCCGAAATACCAAAATCAAACATGAAAATCATAAAACAAACCAGAAACCATGGAGACTTCAAAGGAAAACCATCATGACGAGGAAGACACAGTAAGACGGAGTTGGAGGAATTTAGACGAGGAACCAGCACTGAGGAACTACACAAGGAGATTATTTATGGCTAACTGAACAAAGAGAGGACTAACGAGCAGATTGGGAGCAGGTGTGAACAGAGCGGACTAAGGAGCTAGGGAAAAAGGAGACCAACCCAAGAGAGCAACAGAGGGCAACAAATAAAAACATGAGAACTGAAATATAACCAGAAAACACAACAAAATAAGAATTAAACCAATAAAACTAGAAACATGGAGCAAAGTTAAACTGAATACTCAAAAGAAAACATAACAGAACCAAGACTGTGTACCATTGTTTTTGGATAGTTAAACGTGCAGGGGACCAAAACGGACATTGTGTCGTATATGTTGTAGGGACATCCTGTGCTCAATTCAACCTATTCTGGTTTGAGAAAGGTTTGGTTCGATTTTTTACCATGGAGTACAATGAACCCTCCCAAAGCAACATGGCAGGTGTTCTGCTGTATTTCGTTTTTGTGGTATAATCTGTTTGTTGTAGGTGCTTTGATAAGTTACAGAGAGCTAACAATAACCAGCCTGCATAGAGCCATAAGTCAAGTCAAGTCAAGTCAGCTTTTATTGTCACTTTCTTCATATGTACAAGACATACAAGGGAAATGAAATTACGTTTACTCTCTAGAAATATACAAATATACAAGAAATATACAAGACTGACATTTAAAAACTGACATAAAGTGCGGGACAGAACAGGTAACAGTGATAAGATAAATATGAAGTATAGACATTACAATAAAAGCAATAAATTATTGCTAATCTAACAGACGCAGTTTTTCAAATAAACTATATGAAGTATTGTCTCCAACTTTAGGACGATGTGTGCATCAACTTCACAAGCTACTCCATAAACAAATACAGGGAGAACTTTGTCGGCAAATGATAAAGAAAATTGTGTTTTACTGTGAAAAACAAATCAGCTATTTTTTTCTTGTTTGTGTGTTTCTATCAATTTGATAGCTGTCGAGCCTCACCATATACGTCAACGCAAGGGCGTAGGTTTGTTTTCAACTTTGGTAGGGACACTATTCTTCAGTTTCATTGGTCCTTTGCAAAAATATGCATGCTCTTTTTTTATGCTTAATGTGAGCTTCAGGGCTCATTTTGTTTAAAGAGAACAGCAGCATTTCTTGCTACATTAATACAAATCTTATAAGCACTACATGGCATGCACTAGATGCTGTTTATCAGTATTTAAAGCATCACTGGCTCTGATGGATGTGGAATTAGGACTTTTTCCACTTTGAAAAGGATTGCATTTAAATTTACCTGCGACTAGGACAGTGTCTATTTAACCAAATATAGTCTAAATATGTCTGTAATATGTGGATTTATCCTGTGTTTTCTTCTGAAGATATAGAATTGTGCAGAGGTAAACAGAGGTAAAACCCACTCTTATTTTTTTTTTCTAATATGCTCTCTCTGGATCATGCAAAATAATACATTCAAGGGACGGTAAATAAATGTATTGTATTTACATGTGCACTGGAACTAGAAGAGGAACTGACACTGAGCATTTAAAATATTAATATTAGAAGTTGTACATCTGGGCTATAGTTACTCTGTGTAGCTAAATTCATGTATTTTATCTAGGGCTGAAACAATTAATCATATTAACAAATTATTTAAATAATCGTGAACTAATTTAGTAATTGATTAATCGTTAACTGGAATATAGGGCCACTTAAATGTGGCTTTAGCCGACAGAGCGACCCACATAGAGCAGGAATCATACCAAGATTGTAAAAAAAAATATGTAAACATTTTGCATTTAGGAAGTAAAACATTTTTGTCTGTCAATATTCTCCATCCAGAACTCTTCCAAAGGAAACGTTTAAACGTTTCTGTTTCACCTGGTTTCATTTCATAAAAGATCTTCTTTAAGGAGCCTTTGGCTATCTGATTAAAAGATAAAATAAAAGAAATCCTAACGTTGTTAACTTACATTTCTCTAGTTCCAAAAATCAAAAAACTCTCTCCTGCTTCTTTACAGAACTCCAATCAGAAGCTTTTGCCTGTTTTAGCGTAGATAATATTAAGTTTTTTAATTTGACTAGTTTCTTGGCCCAATATTAATTTATTTTAGCGTCTTTTTTTTCGCGCTCCAAGCACCCGCACCCGCACACATACAGACTAGAAAACACGCAACCAGAAAGAGAGAAGGCGGAACTTAAGGCAGAATAATCAGAGAGTTAAACCGCGCAGCACAGTTGATGCGCTGCTATGTGAAAGGGACAGGAAAGAGCAGGCAGCTGCAGCTACCAGGCAGAGGAGCTGGGAGAGGAAAAGAAGCGGCTGCTGTATAGTAAATTATAAACATGTTGTTCACATCCGATTATTGGTAGGGACAAATAGGTCCGTCCTAAATTTAGGTAGGGACATGTCCCTATGGTCCCTATGCAAACCTACGCCCATGCGTCAACGGCTTAAACAAGAGAAGATTCGGAAATAAATGAAAGATATCATCATCAAGACGCTGAGATGCCCTCACTCCACCCTAAAGCACAACTGCCTGCCATGTTTTCCCTATCAACACACTGGCAGCGCCTGCTTTGAGATATTCGACTTGGATGTGCTGATGTTAGCAGCTCAAACCATGGCTGCAGGAGGTGAGATGTAGACAGCTCAGTTTGTTGTTAAACCTGCAATTCATTTAGCAAGTTTACGCCTTTCGATTCATCTGTCAGAACTCTAGATCTGCTCGCCTTACGGACAGATTCATGGGCGTAGGTTTGCATAGGGACCATAGGGACATGTCCCTACCAAAATTTTGAACTGACCTAATTGTCCCTACCAATAATTGAATGTGAGCAACATGTTTATAATATACAGCAGTAGTTGTTGCAGCAGTAGCTTCTTTTTCTCTCACAGCTCCTCTGCCTGGTCTCTCCTGTCCCTTTCATGTAGCAGCGCATGGAACTGTGCTGCGCTGTTTAACTCCACTCTCATTGGTTGTTCTGCCTTAAGTTCCGCCTTCTCTCTCTCTGATTGGCTGTTTTCTAGTCCGCGTGTGCTTGGAGCACAACATTGAAAATTTATTCACACTAGAATGCAGCGGTTACTACAATTAATATTAGGCTACAAAACAGTCCCAATAAAAAAAAAAAAATGAATATCATGCACACTAAAAAACAAAAACCTTTTTTTTTCTTTTATAAAACGAAATATTCTGAGTCAGCCAGGAGTTCTGAAGACTGCTGGAAAAATGGGCAAATAAAGGCTGTGAGCCATCAACATTTCTGATTCTTAGCCACAGCCACCTAAAAAAGAAAATGTGAGGGTTTCCTTTTTACCGATATTTAGTTGATATTACTGTTTTCATTTTTTTGTTTTTATTTTTACAATTTTGATATGATAACTGATCTAAGTGGGTTGCTCTGTGGGGAAAGGCACATTTTACATTTATATTACTGTATGTTTTAAAGTCTCTATACTCCAGTTAATGATGAATCACGTACTCAATTAGTTGACGATTATTGAAATAATCAATTAATATCATTAATTTTTTCAGCCCCAGATGAAATACATGAAATTGGCTACACAGAGTAACTACAGCCCAGATGTTCAACTTTTATAGTGAAGTTAATATTTTAATGAATGTATTATTTTGCTTGATACAGAGAGAGAAAAGTAGGTACAAATATTAGAGTGGGGTTTAACTCTGCATAATTCTATATCTTCAAAAGAAAATACTGTATTTAGCTTCTCTCTTAGTCGTTCAAATGAAACCGTTTTCAAAGTGGAAAACAGTCCTAATTCCACATTCTTCAGAGCCGGTGATGCTTCAAACATTGATAAACAGCATCTAATGAGTGTAGAGCTTATAACATTTTTATTAATGGAGCAAAATGTTGCTTTTCTCTTTTAACAATGAATTCCTCTTATCAGCAGAGGCGTGCACAGACATTTTGGGGGGCAGGTGCTCAGGAGGGGGGGAGGGCACTTTTTAGCGCACGTGGAACACTTAATTATAAAAAAAAATACACGCATGTTGAATGAAACTTGACTTTTATTTGTAACATTCTCTAAACGTCAGTTTTCAATGGAAAAAAGTCACACCACCAACAGAACAGACTAAAGCTCATCTTTCTTTTTCTTTCATCTGGCTCATCTCCCCGTTTTCCCTCATCCATCTGCCCTCCCTCATCCATCTGCTCTCCCTCATCCTGGTCTTTTTCTGTCTCTGTGTCTTCCCTGAACTCTTCCTCATCTCCTGTCCTGGTAGATGTTGATGGTATAGAGCTTCCCTGCTGTGACTGGCTACAATATAATAATAATAACCATCATGACAATAATAATAATAATAATAATAATAATAGCTTTAACAAATATGCCACATTAGTTTAAATAATGGGCTATTAGGGCAACATGACTGGAAGTCTTGTCACGTGGATATGACTTATGGTAGCCTACAAAATAATAGCTATTTTAATACCTGCTTCACAAACCACTTAAAAATAAAATGTGAACAGCTTTTAATATTTTTCAATACGATTAACCCTCCTTTCTTGGCATTGTGCTGCAATTACTAAATCAATATACAATTAAGACAGTAAAGAGACCAAAATGTGTTAATTTATGTTGCCTAACAAAACCTATACAACAGAATTCTGAGATTAAAGTCAGAATTTTGACTTGTTTGCCATACTAAACTGAAATAAAATTTTAAAATCAGTTAACTTTTTTTTTTTTTTTCAGTGGCCCTAATCCTCTTCCGTATTTGCAATTGCAAACTCTACCGAAATTATTTGTAGCCTATGTGGTCGTCCTCATGTTATCTGTCATTGGCTTGGGCTACAGTGTAAAACTTTCAGAATCAGAATCAGGTTTATTGCCATTGTTAGTGAAGGAGTTCACAAACTAGGAATTTTTTGTGGTACAATCGTGCAACATGAAACATAATATGGAATAGGTAAATAAAATTATAAAAATATCTAAAAACTGTGGGTATACGTCATGCAATAAAATAGACTAATATATACACTTAAGATAAAAATATGGATATAAAATATAAAAAGTAAAATAGCATCTTACAAGGAGACAACTAGTTTATCTGGTGACCACTCATTAAAATGCTTGTTTGGTGCTGCTGAATGAGACATTTTAATGCACAACAAAATGATTCTGCTTGATCTGTATATTACCTGGCTAATGGGGCACGGGAGAAGCAGCCTGTCAGCGACCGTTCCTGCTATCTGAAGACGCTACTGAACTGCTATGATGCTGCACATCTGGCATGCCCTGCGGGCGACCGCGCGAGGTCACGTGACAAAGGAAGAGAGAGAGAGAGAGAGAGAGAGAGAGAGAGAGAGAGAGAGAGAGAGTGTCGTTTGTGCGTAAGGAGGTGGCTCATTTCGGGGCATTGTTTCAGTTATTTTTAGTGGCTCTGGAGATCCTTTCAAAACCGACCTCAGTAAAATCTTATTAATATTAATAATAAAAAAAACAAGTTTCAAAAGGGCATTTTCTTTGATAAAGGGCAAACTTCCTAGTGCTTTAGCACCACCTAGTGTCTATGTATGCACGCCCCTGCTTATCAGTACGGATGCTCACATCGAGCATAAACAAAGGGCACGCATATTGCATAGCACCAATGACACCTGACCAATAGTGTCCCTACCAAAGTTCAAATCAAACCTACGCCCTTGGACAGATTAAAACATTTGCTAAAGGTTTCTGTCCATTGATGTTCAATTTAACTTAAAAGGGACCCATCATTTCTCTTACTTTTTCTTTAACACTTTAAAGCCTTGACCATTAAGTAATTGACACTATACATGTCTGATTGTGTAAATAACAAAAATATTGCACTCAAGATGCAGAGGTCTCAAATGCTCATGTATCAAATGTGAAATATATAAATATGGCTTTAGAGGTTTAATGGTTGAGTTTTTGGTTTAGACTGAATCTTGTTGTGGAATAAAATATGTAAAAAAAAGAAAGTCAGCAAAAGAAAGGGTTGTCTGAGAGGCGTTAGCTTGACCATCTTACAGACGGCACTCTATCCAGGAATTTATAAGCCCTCTATTGTCCGTCTTAATTGCTCTATGATCCAGAGCATAATTGCTTTTTATATCAGATGTAATATAAACATGCTAAAAGTCCAACTCCTAGTGGATGCCCCTAAAAATAATAACAAATATTGTAAAAATGTGGATTTAAGTTCAGATTTATAACAAAAAAGTTTGATGGCAGATGTGTCAGGGGTTACCCTGTTTAAGGTATTTAAGTTTTAGAGGGCAATTACATTTTACATGGAGACAGTATGTCTTTTTTTTTTTTTTTTTTTTTTTTTTTTACACTTTACAATAACTGTCATTTATAAATGGTAAAGAGACAATTTTTCAATGATTCATGGAACATTTAGAACATGCATCTAAGCCATTTGTAAAATGTAAATCATGTATTTAGGTATTAAGCCCACAGATGTTACAGTTAGAGTAAGTTCAATATGTTAAATAAAAAATAAAGCATGACAATATGATCTGTTTACCTCTTAGTAATGGTAATATAAATGATTATCAAACATTAATGAACAATCTATTATTCATTAAAAAATGTTCTCTTTAACCATTTATACATGATGGTTATAATGGTTGTTGGAAAGTGTTTTTAAAACGTTTTTTCTCTCCTAAAAATTTGAGTAATTTGAAAGCAGATTGTTATATTGAATTAGATTATAAAAGTTGGTTTGATGATCTGGGATATTAAATCAGAAAAAAGAAAAATATTCAAACTGGAAGGAAGAAACAGAAAAAAAATGAATAAAGTGGAACTTTAAAAGGCTGTAAACCCTTAATGCCCTATTTACGATTTTCCAGCAAGCAAGGTTCAGAAGTAACGTTCATTAAAGTGTGTTTCTGCATGTCCAGGTGAATCACTCCCTGAGTTTCTCCACTGACTCTGAGCTAAACCTGGAGGTAAAGGAAGCTCTGCTGTACAATAACCCGGCTCTCTTCAACCTGGGCGCCTGTGAACGTCACACCATGGCGGAGAGATGCAGGGTGAAGGACAGGCTGCAGCAAAACCTCCCCACTGAGGCCAGGTGAGGAAATGAGGTGTGGAGTTTGCCTTCAAGGTCACAGCAAGACACACACACAGATATATCATTGTAGGTCTGCATTGGACACACAGGTAGCAGAGGCATGTTATTGCACACATTTATGTTTGACCACCAGGAGAGAGGAGCTGCGACAGTGCAAGGCAGCCATAGTGGAACAGATGGAGGAGTATGAAGCCAAACACCTATGGGGGGGTAAAACAGATCTACCTCACAGGTGCTTCCAACACAGCAGCTCGCTCTTCCAGAATATGGCTGCATCCAAGGCCAGGGGGGGGAGTGTGCTTGGCGGGTGGAACGTTTGGATGACAAGAGGTAGTCCAGTTAGAGGTCAGAAGTTCAGAGCAGAAAAAGAGGAAAGCTTAAATCATTCATGTAGAATAATATGCTGACAGTGGATCTAAAAGTCTATACCCCAGGTAAAATAATGGCAATAATAAATGTGGCATATATCCAGTACATGTAAGTTGAGAAACAATTCAAATGTGTTTTAAAATTAAAGCTACATGCAAAAAAATCTGCAAACCTGGTTGCATCAGTTCAGTGGTGGTTAATTAATGAATGACACCCAGGAAGCACCCTGCCTATTCACTCATTTATTTACTCATTCGTTTGTAGTTCTAGATCTAATAGATGGAGCTTTTTGTATTCCTCAATGGAGGAAGGCTGAAAACATAATTCACAAAAAAAGAGTAAAGGATTAAAGGAGTAAAGGATAAAGAGTAAAGGATTTTGCCAAAAAAATGTCGGACTCCGTAATTTTCTCTGGTCTGCTCCCTGATCTGACCAGTGATGACATGTTTAGCCGCATGTCGTCATTCAATCGCTGGTTGTCTAGGTGGTGCCCTGAAAACAACGTGGGCTACATTAATAATTGGCAATCCTTTTGGGGAAAGCCTGGTCTGATTCGGAGAGACGGCATCCATCCCACTTTGGATGGTGCAGCTCTTCTTTCTAGGAATCTGGCCACATTTATTAGTCCTCCAAAACCCTGACCACCCAGGGTGCAGACCAGGAAGCAGAGTTGTAGTTTAACACACATCTCTGCAGCTTCTCTACTGTTACCCACTCTTTACTCCATCCAGACAGTGTCTTGCCCACGACCAAAATCTAATAAATTAGCAAAGATTCCCAAAGGAGTAAATCATGATAATCTAATTAAAATCAAAATAACTCCAATTGGGGAAAAAGTTAAAACAATTAAATGCGGTCTGTTTAACATAAGATCGCTTTCCTCTAAAAGTCTACTAGTTAATGACTTGATTTGTGATAATCACATTGACTTGTTTTGCCTTACAGAAACCTGGCTGCAGCAAGAGGATTATGTGAGCATAAATGAGGCAACTCCTTCAAGCTATTTAAATTTTCACATCCCCAGAAGTTCTGGGCGAGGAGGAGGAGTAGCAACAATCTTCCAGTCTGACTTACTGATTACTCCCAAAACAATTAATACCTACAACTCTTTTGAACATTTAACCCTTAATTTCCCTGATCCAAATTTCAAGGCAAGAAAACCTCTTCTTTTTGTAACTTTGTATCGTCCACCAGGTCCTTACTCTGAATTTTTAGATGAGTTTTCAGAGTTCCTTTCTGATTGGTATTAAATACTGACAGGGTCATCATAGTGGGAGATTTTAACATCCATGCTGACATTGAAGGCGATAGGTTAAGAGCAGCCTTTAATGCTATCTTAGACACTATTGGCTTTGTTCAAAATGTGAATAGTCCCACGCATTCTCATCTTCATACTTTGGATCTTGTGCTGACATACGGCATAGAATGTGAAGAAATAACAGTATTTCCTCACAACCCTGTCCTCTCTGACCACTTTCTAATAACCTTCAGGATTACTTTAACAGAGTTCTCCTCCCCCAAAAGAAGGTTTAATTTTAGTAGATCTTTATCAGATAGTGCAGTTATAAATTTTAAAGAATCTGCTTCACTTTCTCTCTCCTCTGTGTCACTGAGCAGTGCTGCAGAGTGCAAAAGCTTAGCTTATTCCCCTTCACAGGTTGATGATTTTGTTGATGGGGTTGCTAGTTCTCTCTGATTGCCTTAGACAACGCAGCTCCTTTGAAAATGAAAACCGTTAAAAATAGAAAGCTTGCTCCTTGGTTTAATGCAGAGCTGCATACTTTGAAGCAAAATGCTAGGAAACTGGAGAGAAAATATCGCTCCACAGGCCTGCGAGAGTCCTTCCTAGTCTGGAAAAATGGTTTACTGCTGTATAAGAGGACCCTTTGTAAAGCAAGAGCAGCATACTTCTCCTCATTAATAGAGGAGAATAAGAATAATCCTAGATTTCTTTTTAATACAGTTGCCAAACTCACCCAGAGCCATATCTCTGTTGAACCGTCCATTCCACCTGCTCTTAGCAGCAATGATTTTATGGGATTCTTTATAAATAAGATTGATCTTATTAAAAATAAGATCATAAGCACTCCTCTATCCGCGATTGTACCTGAGGTAGTCATGGAATCTGAACCGGGTTTAGACTGCTTTGATCCAGTTGAACTCTCTGAATTAGCAAAATTATTGTCTTCATCTAAGCCTTCAACTTGTATGTTAGATCCAGTTCCAACCAGGTTATTTAAGGAGGTATTCCCTTTGATCTCCTCCTCCATTTTAGATGTGATTAATCTATCTCTGTTACAGGGATATGTACCTAAAGCTTTTAAGGTTGCTGTAATTAAACCTCTGCTTAAGAAACCGTCTCTTGACCCAGATGACTTGGTCAATTATAGACCTATATCCAATCTTCCTTTCTTATCCAAAATTCTTGAGAAAGTAGTTGCCAAACAAGTTTGCGATCACTTCCACCATAATGAACTTTTTGAAGAGTTTCAGTCTGGCTTTAGAGCTCATCATAGCACTGAAACAGCTCTGGTGAAAGTCACTAATGATATTCTCATGGCCTCAGATAATGGACTTGTATCTGTGCTCGTCCTGTTGGATCTTAGTGCTGCATTTGATACAGTTGACCATAATATTCTTTTAGAAAGACTTGAATATTTTGTTGGAATTAAAGGAACAGCACTAGACTGGTTTAAATCTTATCTATCTGATCGAATTCAGTTTGTTCATGTTAATGATAGATCTTCCTCATGCTCAAAGGTTACCTGTGGAGTACCACAGGGATCAGTGCTAGGACCAATTCTCTTTACTTTATACATGCTCCCAATTGGTAGAATTATTAGACAGCATGGGATTAATTTCCACTGTTATGCTGATGATACCCAGCTATATCTGTCTATAAATCCAGATGAAGCTAACCCATTACATAGATTACAGGCATGTCTTGAAGACATAAAAACCTGGATGACTCTTAACTTTCTGCTTCTGAATGCAGACAAAACAGAAGTTATAGTCTTTGGACCAGAGTCTCTGAAAAAGAAACTGATTAGCCAGTCACTTCATTTGGATGGGATTAAACTGATTTCAGATAATAAAGTAAAAAATCTTGGTGTTATTTTTGATCAGGACCTGTCATTTAAATCCCATATCAAAGAGGTTTCTAGAATTTCCTTCTTTCATCTGAGGAACATTGCAAAAATTAGAAATATCCTGTCCAGGGGTGATGCTGAGAAACTAGTCCATGCATTTGTTACTTCAAGGCTGGACTATTGTAATTCTTTACTATCAGGAAGTCCACAAACTGTAGTTAAAAGCCTTCAGCTGATCCAAAATGCTGCAGCCAGAGTTCTAATGAAAATTAAAAAGAGAGATCATATCTCGCCTATCCTGGCTTCTCTTCATTGGCTTCCTGTTAAATCAAGAATAGAATTTAAAATCCTCCTTCTCACATATAAAGCCTTAAATGGCCAAGCTCCATCTTATATCAGAGATCTGATTGTTCCTTATGTTCCTAACAGAGCACTTCGCTCTCAATCTGCAGGTTTACTAGTGGTTCCTAGAATTTCTAAAAGTAGAATGGGAGGCAGATCTTTTGGTTATCAGGCTCCTCTCCTGTGGAACCAACTACCAGTTTTAGTCCGTGAGGCAGACACCCTGTTTATAGATGTTGGAGATCGGCCTGTTTTCCAGTGTGGTCCTGTTTCTCTGACTGTGACTGAGTGGATGTGCTCTCTTCGTCCTCTGGCATGGGAGCTGCCTTGGAGCTCGTCTGCCTGGCTGTGTGTTTCCTGGACGGGGCCGCCTTTTACAGCTGCTTTTTGTATCTCTGCTTCTGTCTCCTTGAACCCCAGTCGGCCTCGGCAGATGGCCGCTCACACTGAGCCTGGTTCTGCTGGAGGTTTCTTCCTGTTAAAAGGGAGTTTTTCCTCTCCACTGTCGCTACAAGCATGCTTAGTGTGGGGGATTGTATTTGAGTCAATGAGTCAATGAGTCAATGCAATCAACTGGTTTTCCTTAGATAGAAAACTTTGTATCAATTTGACTGTATGATCTGGTTGAACTGTAAAGTGCCTTGAGATGACATGTGTTGTGAATTTGGCGCTATATAAATAAACTGAATTGAATTGAATAAAAATTTAAACCCCTGTCTTTTTAGCAGACTGTGGTCTATTGGTTGATTATTTATGGCCTCAAACATAAGTGTCACAATTCAACAAATAAATACCTTTGAAATAATTATTCAAATGGCTCATCAATTTATTAAAACTGACTAACTAATAACTACAGAATGTATTTTAATAAATATATAATTTGTTTAATGTAGTGATTTAATTTATGTAAATATATTTATTTCATGATTTAATAAATTATTCAATGTTCTTATGCTGAAGCACACCAGGAATAGATTTAACTGTCACACATCCATAAAGGTAAAGAGGCGGGACTATGGCTGCTCCCTAGAAACCTCATCTTCTCATTGGCTGCCTCTCACCAATGAAGATAAAACGACTTCATCCTGGTTTTCTTTTACTCTAAAGTTGATAATATCACACAAAAAGGTAGAAATACATTTTACAATCTGTTAATGTTTATTTAAAGTACATTAGATGAAAATCTCCAGCCTCTATGTCCCTAGTTTTGTCTGAAATATAACTGAAATATATCTTGAGTTTGCTGGTGAAGATTCTCTGTCATCCAGGTCATAGTCATTCCAAAAAAGTTATAAAACAATCAGACAAAAATACAGGTCCACTCCTTAGTAATGGGAAGTCTTCAATGACTCCCATTACTATTTTTTCAGTTCAATTTGCATTTTTTCAAAGACATAACAAGGCCTTTGTTTGGGCCACCCTATAAGCCTGGAACTCAATGCCACTCCAGACAGCTTTCAGGATGGGAAGCAAAACATCTTCAAACTTGGGGGGAAAAAGTCCAGTGTTTTGTTTTTTTAACATGAGAGTGCATGCTGTGGTATTAAGGGAGCTGCTGGAATCAAAGTTAGCCCCACCCACTAATTAACGCCTGCTCATGCCCTCTAATTAATATTTTAAAGGTCAAAGTAGCTGTAGTTGCTCACCCACTTTGCCTAAATAAAGTCCAACATCTTTTTTAAGAATATTTTCTACTTTTCTAGCAAAAATATTAACTTTGGGTGAAAGAAAACAAGGAAGAACTCTCATCTTGCTCAGTGAGAAGCAGCCAATCACATCTCAGGGTTTCTATGGAAGCATCCTTATTCCTGCCTCCATGACTTTGATGGATGTGTGACAGTTTACATTTTTCTAAAGCAGGAACATGAAATAATTGATTTAATCATGAAATAATTATGCTCCCTTTTTAAACGAAATCAGTATTTTTAACTGAGGCATATATACATCTCTCTCTCTCTCTCTCTCTCTCTCTCTCTCTCTCTCTCTCTCTATATATATATATATATATATATATATATATATATATATATATATATATATATATATATATATATAATATATATTATATATATATATATATATATAATATATTATAATATAATATATATATTATAATTATATATAATGTGTTATATAATTATTTATTTATTAAAGCTGTTTTTTCTGTTTGAATAAATGTATAACACATATAAATAATTATTCCATACATTACGTATTTATTGTTTTGTGGCACTATTCATCCTCCATACATTTGATGTCTGTGGTATTGCTTTGTTTTTTGCACCATCTTTAAAATATTTTGGGATAATGGCAGATTCTTAGATATTCTCTGAAAATACAACAATCTTGGTGTGAAGATGATTCCATACCAAATAAACTCCACATTGCTTGAGTTCCAGTGTGAACTCTCCACATTCAGAGATGGTGTGATCTTGTCTCTTTGTGTCGTTCCACCATGTTCTCTCACAAGGGCATCAACAATGTAGACGACCTGCAGGGGCAGAGGCCAGGCTGATGGCCTCCATGCCCCGCTGCATTAATGCAGTAATTTCTTCAGGGGGGGACACTAACCAAAACATTGAAATTAACCAATAATTAAACCAATAAATTCCTTTTTATTATCTTTTTTTATCTTATATTTCGAGAAATCAAATGTTTGCTTTCCATTAGCTGTGAGTTAAAATATTAAAATCGGTGCAAGTAATGCTGCATATTAATCTGATTATAATGAAGTTGCATGAATTTGACTTTAAATTAATCATGTACAGTAAAACTTTTGGTGATTTTCTAGTTGAACTAAAATGCACCCCTTAATTCAAGCTGCTTTGTTTCAATGTGCATAAAATAAAAATACTCTCTTATCCAAAGGTTCTTTTTTCTTTTGACACACAGATGACTCTATGGGATAGAATTTGTCTTTATTAAATAAATATTTTAAATTTATAATAAATTACAATTCATTCAGACAATGTATAAAGTTGGTGTCTGTTTTCAGGCAGCAGATGCAGGAGCTGTCTGAAAGAGCGGGACATGAAGGCTAGGAGAAGGAGGGAGTTGAAGCGGTAGACAGTAGGAAAGAGGGTCAAACAGCAAACTTCCCTCTGACCTGCTGTCTTCCTGTTTGTCCATTGATGAAGCTCAGGTGCAGTGTCCTCATAGGACCACAGGAGGGCCCCACACAGCTAAATCCTGAGATGAATGGCTCATCTCTTAGTAGACCCCTCAGAGTTGATGCTCACTCACCAAATTTACATAAAAGAGAGGTGCCATTGTGCATATATATATATATATTTCATTGGATATATCCATTTCAAATAAAGATTTTACTGTCATTGAATAACAAACAGAGACTCTGATGCTTCTAAATGTTTATAAATCATAAATACAGACCAAGACAAAACAAACAAATTAGATCAAACATTTATGTGTCTCTGCAGTCCCCTCTTTCTGGAGTTCTTTTGGGTTCAGAAGCTGCAGATATGCAGGAGGAGGAGGTGAATGAGGACCGGCTCCACTCTCTGCTGCAGAGAAAGAAGCTAGTGGAGGGCCTGAACCGGACAGAGGGAGCGGGGGTCTTTAGTGGACGCCACCACCGAAGTGAAGATCAAAGAAAAGACCTTTGTTGAGCTGTGACTTCTTTTGTTCCAGGAGGATTTCCTGACACGGTTCTTTTAGGGAACAATGCAGCAAACAACAGCAGAGAACACAGCAGGCTATTAAATGGTCACCTCCAGGATTATTCATACTCTGCAAACTTTTCTGTTGCAGCAGCAAACTGCAGTGTATTTTACTGTGCTACACAAAGCGATGCTTGTTAAAAATGAAATCTAATTAAAAATGTATTTTAAATTTTTCTTATTGTGACAGCTTTGCCAAGTGGTAGCCTATAAAAAAAAACAACTTTATTCATTTTAAAGACACAATAAACTCATCCTCCTTTAATCTAATAATCCTAATAAAAATCTACTACAAATGTAGAAGACTCCCTCTATATGCTCGTCAAAGAAGAATGTCAAAAAGAAAATTAATGTTGAAGAAAAAACTATATAAAATCCAGTTTGCTTTTTCCCAGAAAAAAGGTGGAAAAGGCAGGAGATGGGGCAGAGGTTCACCTTCCTACCAGATAGAGCTGCTGAATACAACGGCCCGATCAAAGCAAAGGAAATGTGAACTTGTTAGGCAAATATTTTAGCTTCTAGTTCTGCAAAAGCAGCTTTAATTACAAAAAAGGTAGTTCAGCAAAGCACTGACTCTGGGAAGAATACGAAGATACATGACACTTTTGTATTTTTAGCTGGATTTCTGAATCCAAGTCATTTGCTTCCAGTTTCATGTTGGAACTAATAATTTAAATCCAATATAATTCATTACAGTTCCATGATCATGATGTGACAAAAAAGAAAAAAACTGAAGCTGACAACCATCTAAAATATGACCAGTTAAAAAAAAAAACATATTATTACTGCTCTAATTAGTCAATCTGTATGTTTGTGCAATTTTATTGGAAAAACAAAAAAGTATTCTTTTTTTGTGCTCATTTTAATTCCAACAACATGTAGCTGCTGGAATTATCATAATTTAATAAAATTAGCAATAAGAACATATGTCACATTAACAGTGAAAAAAAAAAAAGAGTATCTGGTAAAGAAGAGGATGATGTTTATTCCTGTTTCCTCAGATAATCCCTAATTTTTCACAGTAAAATTCCACCTGAATTAGTACATAAAAAATATATAAAATAATTTCATTGTTATACAGATGTTTCACTGATCAGTTCTTTTTTTTTTTTACCCATTTATATTTCTATAACTTAACCCCTTGATTCAGGCAAATTTGACATTTGATGCTGCAGGATTTTGGGTGTGCAAAGAAGACATTGCTGAAAATCAAAATAACTGTGACATTTGCTCAGTCTGAACATTCTTCACTCTGCTTAAAAATCCTTGTGACATAATCAAGATGCAATTGTGATTGTTTTGCTGCATCAGCCCTACTGCTGTGTGTGATTCAGCAGCAGTTGCCCAGCCTCACCTTGCAGCAGAGGAGCCTGAACCAGACCTGCAGCCGGAAGCTGGGAGACACAGCAGGATGGGAGAAAGATGCACAACCTGCAACATCAAACTGGGACCAGGTCCGGTTAGAGACCAGCACCAACTGAAAACAGGTGAGTCATGTCTTTGCTGCTTTTTTTTTTTTTTTGCTTCCTTTTTTTTTTTAGATTTTACTCAGAAGAACAGCTGCTGCATTTTTCTCTTGTCTCTATTGTTTTTTTTCCATTTGAAAAAAAGAAATAAAAGTAGATGCAACAGAAATAGTTTTTTAAAGACTTCTAAATTGTAAAATGTGTAATAAACATTAAATCCTCATCATCCAACAAATACATGTTTGAAATAATCAATTGGATTGAATAAATAGCCTCTCGGTTAAAAACCTTTCTCGCTTGCCGCTCATTTCATTGTCCTTCTCTTTTCAGTTTACAGCTCTGTGGCTGTCACAAAGTCCAGAGGAAGGGTCCCCATCATAAACCTGCTCCCTAAAAGAGGCCTGTGCTGTGCCCACACGCCCCACCACCCCTCAGACCTCCAGAGCCCCGTTGCTCAGCAGGCCTGGCTCTTCTCTCTCCTCGTCCAGAGCACGTCCTGCAGCCCCCAGCTCAGGAAAGGACTTTGAAGAGCATCCAGACCTCTGAACCCACTGGAATGAGAACGGTGAATCCAGATCTGCTTCTGCTCATTCCAGGATTCTGTTAACGTACCTGGAATTTGGAGGAAGAATAATATTTAGCAGTAGGATTATAGTAAAATACACTCTACCTGTTTGGAAAATGCTGGAAATGACTTTATATCTGCACAGCTCAGGTAAAAAAAAAGGGACCCATGAAAATATGATGTTTTATTTAATATAAACCCTCATGGAGTGCCAATACCATTAAGTATTATCTGCTATACAAAATTAAGAAACGTTTATATCTTATCTATGAACATTTTAAAAGCTTGCTTCTAAATACACTAATTAATTGGAATCTGATTTATTAAATTTCATTCAGCAATAAATGTATTTGGTGTCAGTTTTTTTTGCTTGTGATCTCAAGAAAATAAAAATATTAAATCAACAGAAAGATGATCAGTAAATTGTATTATTTGATTTATAGGAAAAAGACATTGAATTTCTAAGAAATTATTAAAAATAATTAAATTAAAATAAAAATTTCCATTTAATTCTGCTGAAAGATTTTTTTTACAATATTTCAGATGAATATTTTCTATTTTCCATTTTTTTTTTATTATGGGGGAAAAAAGGTTTCATTCAAGGCCATCAAGTTTTGAAATAGCAATTTCTTTGTGTACATCACGTAGATTTTTTTCTTTAAAAAAGCCTAAAATTAAGATAACAAAATACATTTTTGTTTATAAATGGTCAACATAATAATAAGAGTAGTAATAATAATGGATAAAACAAAATTACAAACTATATATAGCATATATTTGTACTTTGGGTTGAAGGGGTTAAAATAATCATACAAAACTCAATAATATTTTGGAAGCAATTTATTTAAAATGTGGAAAAACAAAAAAACTTGAATCCTCTGTTGTTTTTAAAACGCTTCTGTGACTAAAGAAAAAAAAAACGCTTTTTAAACCTTTCTTCATCGCTTATTGTTTGATTTGGAACAAAAATGGCGCAGGCCTCTCTAGCTGTGCAACTATTTCAGTTATTATTAAAGTTAGTTTATAGTTTAGGTGACAAAACATGGGCCTTGAAGAGAGAACGTGTCTTTCTTTTTTTTATTGAATAATTATTTTACTCATATTCTGAGGATTAAAAAAAAAAGATGTGTTACACAGCTTGGAAATTAGTTTAAAGATGTTTTTCACTCTTTATTCTCCTGTTTCACTTTAATTAAATGCCCACTCCTGGGAGTCCAAGCAGTCAAAGATTTTACGCCTTTATTGCGCCCATAAACGTCGGAAATCCCCTTTTAGTGCTTTGGAAACACCAGTAGGCCAAAGAAAAGATGCATATTGATTAAAGCAAAACGGAAATAAGAAGAAAAAAGAAGGATAATGAATTGCGGAGTAATAAAGCTATCTCTTTTAAGGGAATCTAGCTGCTTATTCAGACTGGACTTAGGAATAGTATCTTTGAAAATAGTTTATCTATTTTATGAGGATGTTGTTTAGTAAGCTATTAGGCTTAGTCAAAAATAATGAATAAAAGTTATTCGCTGTTTTAAAACATACCTATTTTAATAAGACAGTCTTTATATCTTATTTTAAACCGCAAGAGCTTCATTAATAGGTGCTGATCATTAATTTGCACTTTAGACTCCGTTTTAAAAACTGCATTCACTGGAAAAAAATCGAAATCTACATAAGGCATTTTTTCTTAAAAAAAAAAAAGCATTTGTTCTTGAATTGAGGAGGTAAAAGATACATTTTGCATATGGAACAAGACAATTTACACTTAAAATAAAAAAACAATTGCATTGTCTTATTTCAAGTGCATATTATCTAATTGTCTTATTTTAAGAGTAAAAACACTCGTTTCATCTCGTTTAACTACTCAAATTAAGGGTAAATACACTGAATTTAAGATATTTTACTTATTTCTAGATGTTTTTTTCCAGTGTTTGAATAATAAAGCATATTAAAAGCTTACATATTAATAATAAATGCGTTGCTCTGCGGTATTTATAAGAGATGTGAGGTAAACAAACCTTTCGCATGACAGAGGAATCATGTGCGCACCTTAGATTTTCACCTGCTTGTCATACATTTTTAAAATCAAACATTTCTGCTCTTAAAAGAAAAAAAAAGATGGCGAAGGGAAAGAGCATCCGGAGCACAAAAACCTCTGCGGTTTATGAAAATTTACAACTTTCCCGTGGAAGTTTACGACTCGTCCGGCTCTTGGATTGGCTCCTGGGGGTCATGTGGCCAGCAGGAATGGGAACTTGGTCCCCATGAGGTTATAACGCAGCTGCTATTTTCCACCGCTCATTCACCTATAACACTTTGTTTCACGGATCATTTTTTGTTTTTGTTGATTGTTGTTTTGTTTATTTTTTCCCCCCGAGTATTTCTTGATCAGAATCAGTGATGAACTGTACAGAAACTGCCTCACTGCATGATTTTTTTTAGGGGGGAGTGATGGCGCCTCTTGCGCGGTTAACGGTGCAAGCTTGTGCGCCACGTTCATCTGGCTGCACCTCTATGCATTGGAAAAGAGGGATCAGCATACTCCGATGGAGGGATTACTTTCAAGATGTCACTTTAGGAAAAGTGGGGATTTTGTGCGTGTGTGTGCTTGTGTGTGTGGAGAAGCAAGAGGAGCTTCAGTGGAGTGGCAGCCATGCTGGAGATGATGGATTATCAACAAAGGTAAGGGCACCCTGGTTGTGACTGCGCTGCTGCTGGTGCTGCTGCAGGACTGCTGTGGCTGAGCTGTCACAGCGGGCCTGATGTTTACATGACTCCAAAAGGGGAAATCGCCCCTTCAGGAAAGGGCACTTATTCAGAAAGCGTGTTTTCTACTAGTGTTTGAGCTTCTATCAAGCAGCTGCTTGCTCTGATTAACCCCTGAGGTGCTGCAGCGCCTTCAACATCCAACATCTATCTGCAAAAGTGTGTAAAATCTGCAAAAGGGTTTTGGTTTTGAAGCCCCTCTTGGATTCTGAAGGAGTGAAATGTTGATGTAGGCCACAAGCTTTGACTTTGATGATGGTGGTAATAAATATGGGGGTCATGCAGGACCTCCACGACTGATTCAAGCTTTTATTTTTAAATTTGATTTACTTACACACCACCTTTTTTGTTTGTTTATGTTTTTAACGTTGTATTCTGGATTTTGCTCTGTTTGTTCGAGTAAAACACGTCCAGCGCCTTCTGGTGACGTTGCGTTGCGCCATTACCTGGTTGCGCTTTTATTTCTCACGACACTTTACATGTCTTACAAAAAAAACAACAACAAAAAAAAAGAAAAGAAAAGGGAAAAAAAAGAAAACCAAGAGTTTATAAGCCTTTATTTATCTTATGCCTTTATAATTCACTTTAAGTTTTTCCTGCTACATTGATACGTTTATTTTTGTTTTTATCCCTGTGGTGCCTCTGCTGGGCGTTTATCATTTTCTTTTTTCGAACAAAAAATACCTTAAAACAAAGATAATTATGTTATTTTTTATTAGAAAAACAATAATAAGTGTCTAGAATTCAACATAAGCACTAATATCCCAGAATGTATTTTTCTTTTAATTCTGAACATCATTTCAACATTTTTAAAGAAATTAATGCTCAGTGGAAATGAAAAAAAAAAAACGACGGAAAAAAATCAACTATTGTATAGTTTACTTATAAAAAGAAATTTAGAGAAGGAGGGGAGGCCTATTTTATAACCAAAATGTTCTAGCTGTGCCAAACAGATTAACTACGTGATAAATGTTTAATATTCGTTTTTTTTTCTCCAATATATTTAAATAATCATATTTTTACTGTGTGGATCATTAAGTATTTTAAATGTAACTTGGCTCTCATTATTTATTTATTTCTCTGCTTAAGTAATGCTTTTAACTCAGAGCCATTGGTTTAAAGGAAAGGATTAAAATGCACTGAAATGCAATAATCCAGTCACATTTGACGCCTTGACTTCTGTGCAGATATTAGGGGAATAAACTCTAATTAATGTAGTGAAATGATGCACATACCTGGATATTATCACACCTTTTTATTTTGACTTTGGACTTATTGTACTCTTGCTCTGCGTGCGTTAATGGTGATGATGGTGATGGTGATGATGGTGCTTGAGCGTGTCCTTTCTTCCTGCACGTCGGAGTCACATCTGGGCACATCAGGAGGGACGCACACCTTTGAGGAAATGAAAACATGAAGGAAATCAGTTAGTCGTTGATTGTTGAGATGCTGATGGAGAATTAAGTGTTTTATCACTTTGGCTCTGCTGAAATTTGTTAATTAATAGGCTGGAGGTGGAAATGGAGATGTGCAGTAAAACATAGGGGAATCATTGCTTTGATTTTGTTTATCCGTATACCTGTATATACTTATCTTGTGTCTAACAAAGCATGTTGTACTTTTATGTTTTTTTTAAATTATGTAATATGTGAGTTAAAGCGCGCCCTTATGTGAGCGCATGTAAAGACCGACTGGCTGGAGCGTTTCATTTCGATTCACCGGGGACTCCTGTGCGCAACAAGAGCCCCCCATGGGTGCAATAGTGCAAGCACAGGCGGCGGTGATTGGCCAGAGGTTGATCAGATGGTACACTTCCCCTCTGTATCCAGTGGCACCTCACAGCCCCCCTTTCAGCAAAAACCAAATCTCCGATAAAGTAATGGCAAAAGCACTTGGACTATAAAAGACAACAAATCATATTCCTCCGGAGTAAATACACCCCGTTGTCCACCCAATGAGTTCCTATTTCGTTAACTCAACTTTCCCCGTGTCTCTGCCGGGAGGACAGGACTCTCTCCTGGGTCAGATACCGCTCTACTCCTCGGGATACACGGACCCGTTGAGGCACTACTCCAACGCGGCCACGTATGGAGCGGCCAACATGCAGGAGAAGGTCTACCCGGCTTCCTACTACCAGCAATCGGGCGCGGCGGCGGCAGCGGCCATCTACGGCCGCGCTGCCGCCAGCGGCGGAGCGCCCTGCGACTATAACCCCGTTGGCACTTTCTACAAGGACTCGGAGGGCTCGTGCGCCTTCTCGAGTGGCCGCGAGGAGCAGCCGCTGTTCGTCACTCAGGAGCACCAGCAGCGGAAAGCGGAGTGCGCGGAGCAAGCTGTCAGCATGAGCGGCAGCATCGACGACAAGTCCTCCACTCTCATCTACCCCTGGATGCAGAGAATGAACGCCTGCTCCGCCGGTGAGTCTTTACACGCCTTTTTAACTCACTTTGCTGCGCTTCATGAATAAAATTAAATAAAATAGAATAAAAGGGGTATTTATTTCAACTTTGGAAAGTCAAAACGCAGACAGAAGCAGGATGACAGAGTAGATAAGGAATGTGGTCACAGCGGTGGTGCGCGGATCTTCGTGCGTCCTCGCAGTTTTGCCCGCAAACCCCGGGCTGCACGCGCGCACCCAGCAACGCACGCAGTGACTGGGCCTGCATAAAGCCCGTGTCACATGGCGCTTTTCAAATTTTACTTCAGAAACTCTTCCAGTTTCACACTTCAACTACATTCAACTGCTTATTTAGTAAATAGTAGAATACAATTCTAGATGCACGAACAACAACAAAGCTAATTACACCTTTAAATAATCCTTTATAAATATTACAAAACTGATGTATTGTTATGTTTAATATAGTGCTGATTTATAGTAGTGCTTCTTATCATGTCCACTTGGCGATTTTAGATTAAAATGTAAACAACAGAGCTCATGAATCTCAGTTGTTTAGATATTTACAGGAACATAAAATACGGATATTTATAGATATAGATACACTTTTCAGAACGTTGTAATCTATTCTATTTGAAATATTTGCTTCTTTTAAACAAATATAGGCCAGTAAAATGTTTAAAAATAACATCACAGTCAAGTTAAAGAACTGCTGCGTCTCTCGCCTTATTCTAAGGAGCAGATATCTGCAATTTGTTGTGTCTTTATTTTGCTGTTTATTAATATTGCTTTTTAAATAACTGAATGATAAATTATGATTTATTTTCACCCCCACGTGTTTTCATTGCAGGCCCATTTGGCAGCAGCGGCCGGAGGGGCCGGCAGACCTACACCCGCTACCAGACCCTGGAGCTGGAGAAGGAGTTCCACTTCAACCGCTACCTGACCCGGAGGCGCCGGATAGAGATCTCCCACGCCCTGTGTCTGACGGAGAGACAGATCAAAATCTGGTTCCAGAACCGCAGAATGAAGTGGAAAAAGGAGAACAAACTCCTGAATCCCTCAAAGACAGCCGAGGAGGAGCAAGAGGAGCAGGGGGAGAAGAAGAGCTAAGCTTCAAAGGGGACTCTGAGACAAAAAAAAAGAAGAAACGCTTGAGTGTGCGCGTGAATGCGTGTGTGTTTGTGTGTGTGCACACATTAAATGATGTATAAAATCTTTGTAGATATAAGAAGTGCTGCAGAAACCCCACGTAAGAGACGTGTAGAGTGACTGAGTATTTGCACGGTGACTCCGTCCGCATTGATCAGGTCCTCCTCTGACTGTCTGTCTGTCTGTCTGTCTGTCTGTCTTTGTGCTTGTGTCTTTATTTTAGAGGGCTATGCAACAACCCGCCAAACTATAAATAAATTCCAGTGTTTAAAGTTCTCCGTGTTGTTACCTCATCACTGTAGGCCCGCTGGGTCCCACCTTTATTTAACCTCCATGACATTAAAGCAGTTTTTTCTTTTTCTTTTTGTCCCTTGTTGTGTAGTTGCTCTGATGTGATATAGCTTGTTGTTTACCGATCAATTCAATTTGTACAAATGTTATTTATTGTTGTTTCACGTGTTCAATGCACATCTGGATATTGTGTGCAATATTTTCTTTAGGGGAATTGTACATATAATAAAATAAAGGCTTTTTGATGTAAAAATATACAAATCTTTTCCCATTCTTTTGAAGAAAAGCTTATTATTACTCTTATTATTATTATTGCGGCGTCTGCAGTCGTTCAGGCCACCCATAAGGCCCATAAAATTATAAAACATCAAAGCAAAGAGTGAAATAAATCTCAGTTTTGACGCACTGTGGGCCTAGTGCGACATGACAGCAGCGGTGCTGATAAACTTTTTGTTATGTGTTACCTGAGCCTCCTGTGTGGCCTGTTGTTATGAGCGTTTTTACGGAAATGATGGATGGACTTCGCGCGGCCTCGCAGCGATGCCGCCTCTGTCCGGCAGATGGCGCTCGACGCCCGCGCGGCTCTCGGGGGCGCAGCGGGGAGGCACCATTGACTGGAGCCTAACGACCATTATTTCGTCATCATTTGTAACCATGGAGCATGAATTACCTCTTGAAGTCATCAGTGAGGATTTACGACTGGTCAACAAAGGCACGTGATTCCCGAGCGCTCTCCCATATTTGGCCGCATACCTGGCAAAGTACAGTAGGGCTTCATTGCTTATAATTCATGATTGCGTCCATAAATCGTGCAAGCACACAGGATTATAGCGACAAAGATCTACAAATCGAGGCTTTAAAAATCCAAGCAAATGAGCTCTTACTTTGTAAACTCGTTCTCAGGGCGCTATCCAAATGGCTCCGACTATCAGTTACTAAATTATGGGACTAACGGCGCTGTGAGCGGCTCCTTCAGAGACCCTGGCACCATGCACTCCGGGTCTTTCGGCTACAACTACAATGGCATGGACCTAACCGTGAACCGCAGCAACACTGGCGGCCACTTCGGTGCCGTGCGTGAGGACGCCCGGGGATTCGCACCGGACGCCCGCTACAGACAGACGGCCAACTGCTCGCTCTCGTCCCCGGATTCGGTGCCGCCTTCGTGCGCCACGGCCGGCCGAGAGCAACTGGAGCTCAAGAGCCCCTCTCCCCCCTCTGACCGGAGCGCGACCTCTTCATCGGGAGGCAACAGCCTCGGCAAAGCCGGGGGCGCCCACTTCGCTGAGATAGAGGACGCAGCAGCAGCCGCCGCCGCAGCAGCAGCAGCCGCCGTCGCTGCGGAGACAGAGGAAGGCGCGCACAGCAGCGGCGGCGGTGGTGGCGGCGGCTCCGCCGGGGCATCCAGGGCGCAGCAACAGCAGCAGCACCAGGAACCAAACGCCACATCCTCCACTCCAACACCAAACGAGTGCCAAACGCCACAAATATTCCCCTGGATGCGGAAACTGCACATAAGCCATGGTATATTCACACACCCATAATATTATTCTGTTTGGAAGGATGTCACGCTGCCGGTGTGCCATTAATCTGTCAGGGGTTGCATGAGTGAGCAGGCTGGTGGAGAACAGGGCTGTATTTGTTAGGTGTTTGTGGGCTTGTTTGTTTGTTTTGTTGGAGGAGTTTACAAAGTGCTGCACTCTGAGAGGAGGGTGTTTTTGTGCAATCATGAAATCTGGATTTAAATTGCGCAAAATGTAGAAATATGCTCTCTATGAGGGCTGCAAATAGGAAAGGCGATAATACCAGACAGTTTGCATGCATGCATGCTTTCCTTGTTCCTTTTTCATCCCGTTCCATCATTAAAAAAAAAAAGAAGAAGAAAACATTTGGTTAAAAAAATAAAGTAAGATGGCATTATCCTCCAGTTGTGCAGGTTGTTTCAATGCAGGCTACTAATTTTCTGGATTTTTATTTTTTTTTTGTGTGTGTGTGTGTGTACAAAATTGTAGATATGACTGGACCTGACGGGAAAAGGGCCCGAACCGCGTACACCCGCTACCAGACGCTAGAGCTGGAGAAAGAGTTTCACTTCAATAGGTACCTAACCAGACGGCGGAGGATAGAGATAGCCCACGCCCTGTGTCTTTCCGAGAGACAGATCAAAATCTGGTTTCAGAACCGCAGGATGAAGTGGAAGAAGGACAATAAGCTGAAAAGCATGAGCCTTGTGACAGGAGGCAGCGCCTTCCACAACTAAGCAACTTTTTTGGGGAGAGGCATTAAAAAAACAACAAAAAAAATACACGAGAAAATGTTGATAAAATTCCCCCAAAAAATGAGAAAATGATGAGTACTGTAAAGCTTTTGAAAGCGCAGCACCTTCCAGCATGCTATTGTGATAGAAAAAAAAGAAGTATTATGTGGTCTTTAAATGCCTTTTTTTAGTTTACTGTTGTTGTACTATTATAGCTTAGATGTCCTATTTGGGGAGGGGTAAAAAGAATATTAAGATGTAAATATCATTCTGGGAATTTGTCTCTTTCTGTCTCTTCTGTCTCTTAAAGTTGAGCTCTTTATTGTAACTTCTTGACGGTCTAACAGGAGTAAAATCATTGTACAGTTAAAGAAGGAAAAAAAAGAAAAAGAAATCCCAAACCATATGCTGCTCTTCATTGAATATAAAGCGCTTTTAGTGATGGTTATTTGTGGCCAAAATCCATTGAAAAGTTTCATAAGCAAGCCAATGTGTAGCTCTAGAGAATACGTTGTGCGTTTATTATTATTATTATTATTCTAATTATTATTGTTTAGAATAACAAGCAATGCAAGTGTATTCAACCTGTCAATGTGATGAATTTTTAGTGCAAAGGATTATTCTGTGGATATAGGCAGTGATGTGGGCTTTTTTGAGCTTTTTGTATTTGTAAGTGAACTCATAGCGCTTGAAAATAAACTTTCCTTCAGTTGATTTTGTGTGCAGTGAATTATCGGTTAGAATAAAAACAAATACACGCAATTTCTTGACTTTTCCCCAGTTGATTTTTAAGCGCAAAAAAGAAGAAGAAAAAAAGAAACTTTCCCTACTTGCCAAATTAATGATTGACCCGTAGCCAATGCGTGTTATTTTTTAAACCCTCCGTTTAAAATGAAAGAGAAGACTTTTTCTGACTTACCTCGTCTCAACTCCCTGAAGCGATACGAGATTTTTTTTTCCACGAGAGAAATCCTGATCAAATCCATCTCTTATAATATTAATAAAAAGATTTCTTTGAGCCTAAAAGGTATATTGGCAAGGCAGAAGTTGGTAAAAAATACCCCCTTACCAAAGATTGTAAAGGCCTATATTACTTAGAGACTGTGAAAAGTCACGTGAGGTCCATAAAGTTGGTTTTATGGTTTTGGGGAGTAGACAATGTACTATATAATTCACAACCTTGAATGAAAGTGACGGCTTAACTGCATGGATGGGACTGCAAAGGGTGGACTTGGGAAGGAAGAGATGTCCAGTCATGTTTTCAGTCAGTTAGAACTGAGGGAAATGTTAAAAATATTTACTTTTGTTTCACATTCACTCCATATTATCTTAATAAACACTGTAATAGAAATAACTATTTACAAACATGATGCTTTAGCAAATTATGTTCAATATTCTGGTGATATATATATAATATCAGCAAATTTACCCATCTACATTAAATAAAACTTTTTATTAAATTAAGCATGCACATCTGCTTTAATAATGCTTTAGAATAGAATAGAATAGAATAGAATTAAAAAACCCTTTATTGTCACACAATGGGGAAATTCTGGTGTTTTAGCAGCAAAAATCTATAGAAAAAATAGTAACACAAATGTGGACCTTAGAAAATTGTATAAGAATTTAACAAGGTTTGCAATAAAGTCATCAAACTTTTCTGAGTGCAACAAAAATAAACATTTTCCCTTGAAAAGCATTGATGTGCTTTTTGATACAAAGATGAGCTTCTGGAGGGTATATTAATAATAAAAAAAACTAACAATAGTTAAAACTGAATCCTGCATACTGGTTTATAAAGTTAGATGAATATTGTCTAAATTCAAACAACTTCAGCTACTTTATTTTGGTAATATTACTTTAGTATTTCTATACAGATAAAGCTGAAGATGTTGCCCCAGAGAAACAGAAGCCTTATTGTTTAACGGAAAACAATAAAACTGCTGTGTTGATATTGATTGTATTAAAAATGAAAATATCAACTTAGAAAATGTTAAGAACTGTCATAACACTTGTCAGAAGTAAGATTTCTGTGGTGGGGCAATCATTTCGAATTTTGTTTTAGCTTGTTTAGCACTAAAGTTAAACAATTTTACTACTAAAAGTGTATCCTATTAGGGTAGATCTGAAGCTTTTCTAAATGAAACTAAACTCCCTTTTGCTTTGCAAAATGTCACTTAAACAGAAATAAAGTTTTTGAATCTTGATAGGGTGTGTGTCTATTGGTAACGTCTGTGTCTGAATTAGAGGCTTATCTTGCTAGCATTTATGATATTAGCATTAGCTATTTCACGTTACTTTCGCTGTTGTTACTTCATAAAGCTTTATAAACGTAATTTTTTTTTTGGATTTTTCTTTTCTAAGAGAGCATGTAAACTTTTTTTTGACAACACCTGTTTTTAATTGTCTTTAACCGCCTCACGGTTAAGAAGCTACTTGTTAGCTAGCTTGAGTCTAGCATGCTAAATGCTAAGCTAGTTAAAGCCCGTAGGCATTCATACACTCATATATTTTTACACTAAAACTTTCTCAACCACAGTTCTTTATTTTATTAAACTGACATGTTTTTGGATAATACAGCTTTAATAAATAAAGATTCATTGTTTTGTTTTTGAACTGAGTAAACATTTCACTACAATTTTAGCCAAATCCTACATATTGGGGATTTGTAAACCAAAATATTTGCAAAATTAAAGAATTTAGCACTACATGAACAAAGTTGATAACAAAAATATAGGCAATAAAGTTTTACTGTCAAATATTTTTCACTTGAATAGCCTATTCATTTTTACAGTGCAGATGAAACTAAAAAGGTCATCCACTTTACTGCGTGTGTGTTCTGCATAATAACATAATATATTTATTCTATGGAAACGAACACAAGTTTTCTTAGAGGATTTTATCAAATTTTTAGTCTGTTAAAATAAAGATTTTCTGTTTAAAATATCCTATGCGTTTTGCTCGTGGATTGCCGAAAGGTTATATGTGTATTTCTTTTTTCCTAAATAAGGGGAAAAAATATGCCTATGATAAAGTGTTTTATTTTTAACATCACAACATAATTTGGAGGAAAAACAAGCCTCTTTAAGGACAATCGAGCTGCCATGGAGCGAACTTAAGCGGCTGATTTATGCCTTTCCGTGGAGTCACTGAGCGGCCAAAGGTGAAGTCCCGGACAACTGCGAGCTGGGTTCAGGCTGAAAACCCAGCCTGAACCCATCGCGCATTGTCCACCAACTAATAATAAAACATAATGAAGGAAGTTGGAGACTATATTACCCAACTAATTTCAGGTAAAAAAAAAAAAGAAAGAAAAAAAGGTTAAAAGTAGTGGTGGGCTATATATGAGTTCCAGACATTTTCCACATATTCATAACTATTAAGTGGCAATTTAGCCAGCGTAATGAGTATTGCATATTGATAGGGGTAATCTGTGCCCGGATCTCATGCATAATTCATTGCAGTCGGGATCATCGGCGGGTCAGGAGACGATAGACTGCAGCCACAGATGCGTCAGGAGGAAGGAAGCGCGCTGCATCCAGACTTTGCACTGTCACTGCTCCGAGCCTCAGGAGTGCTGACAAAAGGCTGTGTTTGCAAAAAAGGGCGGATATTTGTCTTTGTATAATAGTAAATATATATATTGTTATGAGCTGTGAAAAAATAATTATTAGTTTAAATAGAAGCCAAAATTTAAAAAATAATATAATTTCCTCTTGTTTATTTTGCCTTACAACAAAACACTCTACTATAGTAATTATTGCTGATGTTTTAAGCTTTGTTTACACATAATAGCTATTACCGTTGCAACACATTTTGTTTTTTGTTTATTCCAAAAGAAATATCAAAACAGATCATTTTAATTCTAATGATACAAGATTTTTTTAAAGAATCAAAATTTAACTTGATTTTTGTTTAGTAGACAAAGAAAAATGTCACCTCGTGTATATATTTATTTATTTTAATTGTTTTTTTTGTTTTTTTTGGGGGGGGGGTGGGGGTGTAGTTTTTATTGGCGCTGAACATCTGTCTGTGTGAGAGAAGGATCTGCGCTTTTGCCGGTGATGTTTGTAATACAACCGTTCTGCCAGCAGAGGGCGCCTCAGACCGACTGGCTGGATGATGGATGAGTTTATTTCCCCTCCCTTTCAGGTCGAGCTCTTATCATTGGAAGGTTACCAAACAGAGGACAGAAACAATCTATGTGGTTTGTTGCTTAAGTCTTCAGGTCCAGGGGTTAGGAAGGACTTTTATTTTAGTTACAGGACACTTCTGTGCATTCCTATTTATCTAAATACTTATAAACTTTAAAAAAAATGTGAAAACAAATTTAAAATATTGATATTATGTAAACAAAAAAAAGACAAATAAAAGATTAATCTATCTTAAATTGGATTTGGATAGAAAACAAAGTGGACTTGTAGGAAACATACTGAAATATGGGGATGATAATATTTGCAAAGTGAAAATATTTAGATAATCATATTTCAGATGGGTGTCATAACTTTTGGAACATTTTTCCCTAAGAAAGCACTTTGCCAGTCCCAGATTTTCCATTTGAACGACTGGAACCACTGAAAGTATTCTAATCAAAAATCGAAAAGGGTGTCATCCCTGGGCAGCCAATCACAGTCTCCTGCAAAAGAAGAAAGGTTTAAGATATATTTCTGTATCACTGAAGCTGAATCTCTTGAATATTTTTCTTTCACACTTTCTTTCCAGATCAGGATTAGGTTTAGAACATATGTGTAGAGAAATCTTAAATATGCTTTGAGCTGAACTTTCCATAGGTTGGTAATTCAGGGTTAGAAGGAGAAACTCTGCTTGAATCCTTGAATCCTTGTTTTCAAGGATTCAATGATTAAATTCTATCTATCTCATCAGCTATGACCAGTGTCCATGTAGTTATGTTAAGGAAAACCTTTTGTCTGCATGATGCTGCCATCACCATGTATCACAGTAGGGGTTGATCTGTTTGGGGTGAAGTGAGCTTTACCATTCTGATGCACATTTGGCAGCAATATTTTAGGAATTATCAGACAAACTGAAAACAGAGCTTTCTGTGGCTTTCAGAGTATTAGTAATATTTGTCCCATTAACCGATTCTTCCACTTGACCTGTTGATTTCTACAACTCCTCATGTAATATTAGGTGCATTTTGGCTGCTTCTGTCATAAATGCCTAGAAATTCAGTAAATGAAGAAAGGTTAGTTGTGTTCATTTTTCTGATCAATGTTCAGAGTATTAAATTGAGCTCTGTGTAATCTCTAAAGCATTGTTGTTTTGTTCCAATCCACATGCAAAACCACACTTGGAGACCACAGGATGTAAAAATAAAGGGATTATTCACCAGAATCTGAATTTTTACTTCAGAATTAGGGACTCTTTTATACTTGAGGCTCTGCGCGATCGGGGGGAAAAGGGAGCAGCAAGGAAAAAGTGGTACATTGAGACCGAGGCAATTAAGGGGTGTTGGAAAATGAGGGAAATTGTACTTGTTTCCAGTCTGAGGAACAAGTTGAGATCCTGTGGTTCTAAAGGCAAACTGATTAGAGAGCGGACTGGACTCCTTCATGGAGGTCGATCAACAAGTGTAGATGAACTCTGTTTGTCCACCAGAACACAGCTTGGAGAAATCACAACCAGCAAAGATCCTGCAGAGGAAGAGAGCTCACACAAATAATGAAAATGGTATAACCAAAACATGTTTTCTTCACAGCTCTATCTCCAACCCTGTCTGCTGTGTCCCTTAGTCTCCATGATGCTCGCTAATATTCTTTGACAAAATGCACACTGTTCACTGAACAGCTGGATTTATACTAGGATTATAATTTGCATAGATTGACTCTGATTTGGAGTTTAAAGACAATTTGTTGCACTGAATATTGCTTAGAAGTATTAGGGTAAAGGGCTAATAATCCAACAGATTTAAACATTTTAAACCTTTGTTAAAAAAACAGTTATAAACAATATCTTCCACTTCAGAATTATGTCTTTGTGTTGCTCTAACAGATATGAATCCCAATAAGCTGCACAGAGGTTTAATGTTATAATGTGACACGGCGTGGAAAAGCAAAGGGATTTTAATTAGGGTGGTGTTTATCGTGTCATTTATCATTATGATGATACATTTCAGTCACAATCAAAATTTAGATTTATCCTCACAACAATAAAGCAAGATTAGTCTTTTTTTTTTAATCTAAGAAAATAAATGGCTGTATTCTCCTAATTTTGATAATTTTTTCTGCTGTTAATCTAAAAAGAAATGCTCCAAATGCTGTTATTGAGTTTAGTGACTCAACATTATAGTTCTTTTTGCAACTTATTATCACACCAGTAGCACCAAATATCATAACAAAATTATGGCTCCATCACTCTCCCAAAGTGGTACGGTACTTTAGAAGGTACTCTTAACAAGTATGCCTTACTACACCTTACCTACTAAACTTTTAATGCCTTGTTACCATTTATTATAAAAAGCCCTACCATACAAAAGACAAATCATTGACTAATTATATGTTTATTAACAGATTTTTAGTACTATTATGATGCATAATGGAACACTAAATGTATGAGATCATTTATTAAGGCTTCATAAGGATTTACAACCAGTGCATATCATTAATTAACGCTTCATTACTTTTTGGTCCCCATACATTTTACAGATGGACTGTTTGAAATAAGCCTTTACGTGCAGTTTGTCAGTTAACAGTTTGAATATTTACTTTATTTTAAGAATGAAAACAACAACTTGATAATACTTTAACAACTTAATTTATGTTAGACCTTTACCTTATTATAAATGTCATATGTGATGATGTTTAATCTTTGGAGTCGAGTGGTTATTATCAAGAATTTACTAAATTGATGCTTAAATATCTTTTTAGCAGCTAATTGAATTTATTAGGACTTGTATTAGAGTTCCAGAGTCCCTGCCTGTGTTTTATTTACAATATTTTTCCATAACTTTATTAACTTCTACAACAGATGAGAGCAAAAAATAATGGTTTGTATGTTTCAATCTCTGTCCTTGTATATCACCTGGTTTCATTGATGAAATTTCTATAGTTTAAGAACCAATTTGTGGAAGAATTTCCTAATCATGTCTTACCGGATATAATTTAAACAAGCGTTTATATTTGTGAGCATTTATTGACCCTTTATTCAGTTTTTTAAACTCTATTAAGATGTTGATGTATTGCAAGTGTAAGAAGAAAAATTGAATAGATAGAGAATTAATTATTTTATACACAGGAATTTGTGCAGCAGTCCCTCATATATATATGTTATTAACATTAACAAATGGGCTTTTGTCGATTGTTCGTCACCGAATTAAATTCAAACTTCTAACCTGTAATTATTTCTGATTGGAAAATACAATTTCAAACAACATCCTCATGCCAGATTTATACAAACAACGGATGATTCTCTGCGTTTTTCTTCAAATGTCTTTAGAAATTAAAAAAGAATGATATCCTAAGGGCTTTAATAATGACAGATTTGTTATTCTTTAGCAGATTATACCCTTAAACTAATGCTTGATAAACATTCATGGCATCCTATAAAGTATTAATTAATTTTTCTAGCTGAATGTATTTCTCTTTCATTGTTTTATTTATGAATAAAGAAATTAATTAACAAATTCCTACCAATAATATTTTTATTAAAGCCTTGTTAGGGAATTGACACTATATAGGCTTTTAACTAATGCTGAAGCAGGGTGGGACTTGAGGCCTTGCAGTTCCAGAGGCATATTTACTCTTTAAAAGTGAAAATTAAATATATCATTTAGAGAAAAAAAATTATTTATTGTAGTTTTTAGTCTCCTTATTAAACTGGATTGCAGATGTTTAACCTCCAATTATTTATTGAGAAATTGCAAGTAAGGCCTCTAATGCTTAACCAACATTGATTAGTACAATGTTGACATGAAGAAAACTTTATTCAGAATGGGTTGTTAGTATTATTATTACTGCTTAAAGAACAGAGAAACCAGCCAAAGAGATTTTACCAACCAAACCTCCTGAATCTATGGAGATAACATTAGCAAACATGTTTAGAAGGCATATAAGTTTACAGCTGAACTTAAATGGGAGACTCTTGGTTGTGTTATAGGATATACTTGTTTTATTTTTTTGCCTGAAAAGACAAAGTGATGTGTCACCGGTATACACCCTGTAGGTCCGAATTTGTGTGAATACTTAAGGAGTCACAGATTCTCATCTTGGGGAGTATGCAGGCGATGACCTCTCAGCCACAGAAGAAACATGAAGAAACTTAACACCTATCAAAAGCAAACTTCACCATATCTGTTCTTGGTAAGAAACATTGCATTTATATCAACTAAGCTGTAAGCTATCAGTGGAGCCCCCCTTTTCCCCACCCCTCTTTCCTCTTCCCTTTTCTTACACCACATTGTTAGTGAATATGACATCTGGGAGAGTTGCAGAGCGAGCCTTGAATGTAGCCATTGTTCAGCACATCATTTGTCACGTCCCCTCTGTCTGTGGCCGAGGAGGAGTTGCAGTTCGCAGGGCTAAATGTGAAGAGGGGCTCGACAAAACAGCTACAACCCGAGTCGACTGGAAGCAGAATCTGTCCAGAGGAGAAGATAAGAAGATGAGGAAAAAGAAGAAGATTGCAAAAGAAGGTAAGTTTGCAAAAGTTTTGTCTAACTAATTTAGGATTAAATCACATTTATTGTTTTGCACAAATTCTACAAAGGATTACAAACTCTTTTATTAATGTAATTTAATGAAGCACAATCGTTACTATCAATATGAGGAGTTATCCGTCTACTTCAAAGTGTTGTTATTGTGTTTATTTGCTGCTTTTAAAGGCTCTGAAAACAAATCTGTGTTGCTTGCTTATCAGTGCATTAGTTTATTTACTACCTTGCTCATGTTGTCGGTGGGAAATCGAGTTGCTGCCACTGTTGATTCAACTGTCTCTGGATTAATTCAGAGCAATGGATAGCCTGTGCCTGCAAACACGTGGTTCCTGCAGCTAACCAAAAGGAGAGCTTTGCGGAGAGCTGCATTTGTCAGCTGGGCTCTGAACGTTGCATGGAGGCTGGTGAGACGTGCCCATGTCTATCAAACTTCAAACAAGCAGCCCTGTTAAGCTGCTTGATGCTGAGTGATAACTACAGGCTACAGGGCTCTTAACGTGCATTTAAAGCTCATCTAGGCATAAATGAAGTAAACTACTGTTTGGAGCATGGAGATTAGCAGAAGATTTGAGAGTGCTTGATTTCTTTGATGGAATACGGATCCCAGTACTTTAAATTTAATGTTATATTTTTCTATATAAAACTTTAAGGATACCAAATTATAAAAAAATCTAATAATTAAACGTGTTCTGAATAAATGACAAACCTGCTTACACAAATACTCAAATTTGAATTATTTTTGAGTGTCACTAAAAAACTGTTAATAACATGGCCAGATGGGGGCCGTCTCCACAAAAAACATGATTTAAAAAAATAAAAAAGCTGCAGCTTCACTTTGGCACATCCATAAATAGTGGCATGGAGCAAGGTGAAGAGATGGGGACACAAAAATACCTGTAAGATACAGAATAACCTTTAATTTCCCCCCTGGAATTACTCTAGATAAAGGCGAGGGGGTAGTGAATTTTAGTGGTTAGCCATAGACCCCCCCTTACCCCCCTTTGGTGCTGCCCCTGGCTGGATTGCACTGTAATTGCACGTCAGAGTGAAAAATAAATTCTCTTTTTGGCTTATTAATTTATGTAGACACGTGTTACACTTTAAAATTAATATTAATAAACAAATTCTCAAATGGAGCTTATATTGTCGGAAAAAAAGTTATATTAATAAAGGAATAACATTAATATGTTGGGTTTATCCATACATGATGAACCCATTTGAAATGACTGTATAGGTTTTAATGTGGGACCTTTTGGGGTGAAAGGTCAGACCAATATGAGTCTTAAATGTTCTACAAATCTTGAACTGATTCATTAATTTTTTTATTCAAACTAAAATTTTCTGATTGCAAATCTAGCCCAGTAAAAAGTCACATGGAGCCAGCATATAGATGCTGACTGGGTGGTAGAATCAGATCAGACAGATATCTGCACCTCCACCGTCATCCCAGCAACCTCCTCCCATACATCAGCAGGCGTTTTATTTTCTAAACAGCGCACTCATTGCTGATTTTCTTTCTGTTTTTATGGCAGCTTTTATAGGCCATCAGTGAGACGTATGGTTTTATTGACCAGTTTCGCAGCGAACACATGTTTCCCGCAGTGCATTTCAGGAAAACACGTTCAATTTTGATTTTATTTTATTTTTGGAGTTTAATGTTTCGGGATTAAATTATGAGAATAATTTAAACGTTGTATTTGTGTCGCGATCAAAAGCGTTGAAAAGAAAATTACATTTATTCGTTTTCTATTAAATGCAGAAGAAGAAAAAAAGAGGGGAATCAATTTAACAACAAATATCACTATATTACTGCCTAAAAATGTGTTTTATGGGTGATTTTATTTTTTCATCTAGATTTTTACTCTTACACTGCAAAAATGATCTAGAAATAGGTAAAACTGACATAAATTAAGTGAATTTCCTCTTAATTTTAGTAGGTAAATCAGATATTTAGATAATGTGCACTTAAAATAAGACATTGCAATTGTTTTTTCTTATCTTAAATGTAAATTGTCTAGTTTCATTGGCAAAGTGTCTCACTTATCTTTTCAATTCAAGACAAAATGCACTTTTTTAGAGAAAAAAATATTTATTTAGATTTAGATTTTTTTCCTTTGCAGTGTGCCTGCTTACAAGCGTTTAATTTATTATTATCTAAATGGCCATTGCAGAATTACGCAAAACATCTGTTTCCGCCTTTATGTATGGTTGTGGCATCAGATTGCTTTTCTGTTTTAACACTTTCTGCCTCAGAGATCAAAGACTCCAATTTGCATGAATTAAAACTACTTAGTTAATTATTACCTTAAGGATCCGATTAAAGCGAGTGAACAAAAAAAGGTGAAAATGAGAGGATCAAAGCTTATATCGATTCTCTGCTGCAGCCTGACTGTCCACCGTGGGAAGCCAGATGAGCAGGATTACAGAATCTACTTCTGCACAGAGACTTTTTAATGCATCGACCTGCTCTGCTCTGTTGAAATGGGTCCATTTAAATTAGGGGATGGGAACAAGGACTGCTTATGGAGAGCTTTTCTTTCTTTTTCGGCCCTGAATGGGATGCAGTGCAGGCCTATGTGCTGAAAATGGTAGATTAACAAATAAATCCAGGCATTATATACAACTAAATTATATTTATTGCATTTTAAAAAGTATATTTCAAATTTTTTTTGTGTGCATGCCATTTATTTTCCTAAAAAAAAATCTATTTTTGATAACTTTATTTCCCAGCTATTGCCATATATGAATCTGAGTTTGCAAGATCAGCAGAAAGGGCTTCTTTTTTTTTTTTTCCACGCACACACACACACACACCCACGCAGAGTTCAGATTAACAGCAAACGCAGGGCGGTCAGAGCTGCAGAGAGAAAACCTTCACTCTGCTGCTTCTTCACCCCGCACATCCACCTGCACCACTTTCACTATAGGGTTTGCCTTAATCTGTTGGAGTCTTTCTTTTTTTATTTACACGCTCCTAAAGGTGTGAGGAATCCTGCGTGTTTTTGTTCCGCGCGCCGGAATGAGCGCTGAAGGTAAGGCAGCCGAGCTGTTGTGCCTGGGTTATGTGTCTTTATGATTTACGAGCCTGACTCCAACCGCGGTTCACCCAGAGTTCATAAAGCTGCATGCCTCCAGACTTATTCTCTCTCACTCCCTCACTGCATTTTTTATCTCCTCTTGCTGAAAATAATTTGGTTTTGTTTAATTTTGGAAGAAGATTGAATTTAATGTGTTTTTTTTTCTTCTCCTTTTGAGAAGCTGCAGAAAAGACGGATTTTGATCTCAGTTCGGGGCACAAACCGTGCAGCAGCTGCAGCACAGTAGACATTTGTATAATTTTGCATTTGATGGATGTGTTTTTCAGCAGATTGGGATATAACATTTAATTTTTTCCCCTTGTAAACAGCTTTTCTTTAGCAGAACAAAGGCTGTTACTTTTAAGACCTCATGTAATGTCAGAAAACACCACGGAAAACACAATAAAGCCTCGTCTATTTTTTTATTAATTTTTCTTTAACCACATTATGTAATTTTTGCCCTTTTTAAAGTTCTCTTTATTAAAATAACAAAGAAACATTCCAGAAAAAAGACCAATTTTCTCTGTTTTGATTTTTTTCTCTCTTGCAATTTAATACAGAAATTATTTTTAAAACACAATTTGAAATGTTAAACATGATAATATATTTTAAAATGACATACAATAAAGCTCAAATTAGAATAGTTTGCAAATACTGCATTTCTTTATTTGTGTTTTTTTCCACCAAAGTCCACATTTTGCCTCTCAACCCTGCTTGCCATTCATGTCAGCTTACTATTGAGTTGATAAGATGGATCATTTAATCTCCTCCCTGATTCAGTCTTTCCTTTCTTCTCCCTCCTGGATCCTCTCAGGCCTGAAGCCTTCTAGTCTCTGGAAACCTGCCATGTGACATTTGGCTGCCAGCTCTGCACCAGAAGGTCAAAGGGGGCTGTGGTGCACATAATGCAGAGTAACATCCGCCACAGTTGCAGCCATCCTCACGGTTTCTTCAGTGAGTCTGTGGATGGTGGTTCTGGATTCGGGGGCTCTCATCAAGCCTCGGCCCACCAGCATGGTGGAGAAGGTGGGCTTGAACTTCCTCGGAGGTCCAAATCGCAAAACCCCAATAAATTTACGATGAGCAAAAAGGTTTTCCCTTGGATGAAAGAGTCAAGACCCTCCAATCAGAATCGCACCAGGGGGATTGCAGGTAAAAATGCAGTAATTGATTAAAAATGTCCTTTTCTGTTTACACAAAAAAAAAAAAAAATGTTTGGAAGGCATTAAATATCATCTATGTTTTAGATAATCACTCTTTCAGTAACACATATCTTAAACTTGTGTTATTTAAAAAAGAAGATGGTGATTAGGTTATTTTCTCCTTTATCTTGTTGACTTGTCCAGGAAAAAAAAAGATAGATGTTTATGTTGTTTGCACTGGCAATGTAACCCTTATACAAAATTAGATCTCCAATAAGACTGGGGTCAATTAATTATACGTACTGAGGCAACAACCTCGTTTCCTGATTTAACTTGTTTATTTACTACATAATTTTGCAGTCTGTCAATTTCCTGACATTTTTAACTATACTTTTGCAACAACTTAAAAAAAAATAATTATTTACAGCATGGTATCCAAAGTGTGGTGCAGGGGCAATTTGTGGCCCCGCGATTGACTTTGTAAATTATCCAAATTTTGTCGCACACATGGTGGAAGCTAATTCAGAGTTTCTATTTTTTATCAGGAAAATAGTGAGGCTAACATTTCAAAACCTTTTTTAAAATTTAGATTCACAAAGATATATCTCCAGATTTTTAAAACAAAAAAAACAAAACCCCTACTTCATTAGTTTTACCAAAATATTGCCTGCTTAGTTCATTGTTGGGCAGTTTTTTTTTTCTTTTTATTCTGAAATTATTATTTTTTTTTTTTGACTTGACAATGTTTTCTTTACCCATAAGACAAAATGTTTGGACACCGATGTACATTCATGAAACTTAAACACTTGGAATACATTTTTGACAGCTTTTTACATTTATTTAATCAAACATTAGATGTTTTGTATAATATAAACTCCTCGCATGTGTCTTTTATGTATTGTTGCCATATTGCCACATTTGATTATTTACACTTTTTTGTGAGAAATAGTATCAATTTGGATAGATATTTGAAAATAAGTTATTTTCATAAATTTTCAAAATGTTGTTACTCAACAAAACTTACTTAACTTCAAATTATAAAAATCTCTGTCGACATTTATTTTGTTCTTCTTTGTAAAAAAAAAAAAAGGATTTCTGGTAGATAAACTTTTTCTCTGATAAAAATTTAGTATATAAACAATGTTCCTTATACCCAAAGCAAACATCTATCTATGATTAGGAACAGCTGCCTAGCTTAGCTAGTTAGCAAGTCCACATTTAGCATACTATCAAAAACTGCTAAACTTGTAAAATCTTGAGCTGTTTTAAATATAAGGCAGCTTAAATCCACACAAAATACTTTATTGATCCCTAAATTGAAAAATCTCAGGCTTATAAACATTTCCAAACAACCAGAGCAAAGATGTTTCAATAATTGCCATTGATAGTTGGGAGGCATGATAGCAAGTGCGACTTTAGCATGCTAAATAGAACTGTTGCTAAACTATTAACAAATGGCCCATACATTTTCCCTTGACAGCCTCTGTTTGGATGTACCATTCAATGACAATGGCTGCTCCATGATTAAGAGGCTCAGTTTGCTGGAATGACTGTATTTATAATGCTAAAAAGAACTGTTCTGCCAAGTTTAGCCTGGACAAAAACTCAGTTTAAATATATTCAAATAGGGTTAAATGCTAACTTTTACCCTAACAAAATTGGTTTGGACTTTTAGCTTGCTACTAACTTACCTTAGCCAATTCCCTATACTAGCTAGCTGGGAACAAAATTTGTACATCCATTAATAATATAATCATGGTACTAAAATTACTTATCTCTATCCTTAATTTACTAAAGAATGCTACTACACATCTTTAAAAAAAATGTTTCTGAGACAATTTTGATGCTTTTTACATTTTCTGCATCAAACTGCTTGTCTGAAGTCATCATCGCCCATGCTCAGAGCAGTCTGTCAAAATATGATTAAACCATGTTTATGTGCATTTTAGTTGTCTTTTTCCTTAGATTACACACTATATACCAAAAATTTTAACATGAAAGGAACACATAAAAATCAAAAAGACTTGATTTGGTTTAAAGGCAAAGCCGAAAAAGTTGGCCCCCGGAAGTAGCGCAGGATCCCATTTCCGATGCATATCGGGCAGAGATGACTGATATAACAAAAAGGATTTTAAGGCTTTATGTTCTCAGGAAATGAATTTTTAACCTTTAATAGATTATATTTTTGTATATGTTTACTATTTTTGGGAGGGAAAAACATAATTTAGGTCTTTTTACAAAATAAAATGGAGTGCAACCTGGATGTATACATGGATGAGCATGCGCAAATGAGCTGATGGTAAAGATCGTTCCCGACATTTTCTCAACTACAAGTCTGTTTGTAGTGTTTACTTTTTCAAAATAAGCAAACATGGCTATATTATCCATCCATTCAGTATCCGTCACCCTTATCCCTGCTAGGGTCGCAAGGGATGCTGGTGCCTATCTCCAGCTGTCGGTGGGTGAGAGGCAGAGTACACCCTAGATAGGTCGCCAGTCCATTGCAGGGCAACACAGAGACAAACAACCATTCACTCACACCGAAGGACAATTTAGAAAGGCCTGTTATCATAGCAATCATGTTTTTGGACAGTGGGAGTACCCGGAGAGAACCCATACATGCCCAGGGAGAACATGCAAACTCCATGCAGAAAGATCTTGGGCCAGGAATCAAACCCAGAACCTTTTGGCTGCAAGGCAGAAGTGCCACCCCATGCTCCACTGTGCAGCCATGATAATATTAATTGGTTAAAATTTTGTCTGATTTTTTTTTTGTGAATAAAAAAAAAAAAAAAAAAATTACCACTTTATACTTATTGCTAATATACAGAATGGGCCCAAATAAGAATTAAAAAAGTGTTTACATAATTTTTTCAACAAATTTAAACACCTTGTTTAATTACTGTATAAATCAGTTTCATTCATTTTCATTTAGTATCTTCTTAACCAGCAATAAAGGTAATGTTGTGTCCTGTTTTAAAGGTTCAGGTGGTCAGTTGGTTATTAACTAGACTGCAGTGCATATGAAGGGGATCCAAAGACATTAGGTAAGGAATATATTGGTGTGAATGAGAGGGAATTTCATCAGAGCAAAAGCTGTGGGCATAAAAAAAATATAATGAAATAAACATGAGACCAATAAGGATGATCAAATTAGTAATCATTCGTCTCTTCAATATCTTAGCTTTATTCTAACATGCTTTATTGGGCCTTTAAGAAAGCTGATGACATAAAGTCACAACCTGGATTACACTTTACTTTTTTACTGTTTATATGAATTTTGCATAATAGAACAGGATTAGAACACGTAAAAAATAGAAAATCTACCAGCAACAAAAATCTGTAAAAGGTATAATAGTAAATATTAACACTTGTAAAGTCTGACAATCGCCCTTGTATTACATCAGGGTGTTTTCCCCAAACCACAGGGAGAGTTATTTTTTTCTGGGTTAACTGTACTCACTCTCATATGTAGAACTGGTAAAATATCAAAAGTAGGGATGCTAACAGCTGCTTAGGGTCCCAAAGCCAAGAGAGGATGCACTTTAAGGCCCCGTCCACACGAAGTCAAAACGAACACGAAACGCTGATATTTTCCAAAACGTTTGCCGTAAAGACGGAGACGTAAAATAAATGTGAGCGTCCACACGAATGCATGAAAACGCTGCAAAATGTATGCCAGGCCTGTAAGTGGCGCTGTGGTGCCAAAGCAAAAATAAGCGACGAAATGTTGGGCATGCGCACTAATATTTATACATGGTTGCCCTGCGGGTCCATTTTCGTGGTTAAGTCAAATTCAGGTGCTGAACTATGTCGTCGATATTGCTCTGTTCTTCCTGGAGATATTCCAGAAGAAGAAGATTCTGTTGTAAGCCCGACAGCAGGGTGAGTAGCATTAGCAGCAACGGCGCCATTGTTGTTGTGATACTGGTCGCGCATGCGTGTTTAGAGGCGACGCTATGACGCATGCGTGTAAAAAAAAATATGCGGTTAGAGTGTAAAGATGGAAACGCGAAAACGGCGTTTCGAAATCTTCCCACTCTGAAGGCTTAATAAAAAAAAGATAGTTTACAGACCCCCGAAACGCCGGCTTCGTGTGGATGAGAGGCTGGTTTGGTGAAAAATTTGTGCGTTTAGGCCAGGGTTCGTCTTCGTGTGGACGGGGCCTAATTCTCTCAAATATCATATCCCTAAGGATTTTTTTATATTTAGAAATTAGTAGTATTAATGTGAAAAACAATTCCTTAACATTAAATGTAATTTAATGTTGTTTAACCTTTCTATATTGCAATGAGAAACACTTCAGAGACAAGGAAAATACAACTTATACGATTATACGAAAATATTAGGCTTTCCATATTGTTATCTTTTATTCTAAGGATCAAATTGTGATGGAGGTTCTTTCTGTTTAACAATTTGATTAATCTGTCCTTTTGTTATCAACATTTGAGCTATGGAAGCAACCACAAAACTTTTACAAAACCAGTTTAAAAGAAATATGAACATTTATGAACAGGCATTCCTAAAACTAAGTGCCCAATATCAACATTTAAGACAGATATTTTATTAACAATGGCATAAACAAATCATAACACAAAAGTTTTTACCCTTTCAATAACCAATCGAAATTATTTATTGTAATTTCTTTTAACCAGTACATTTTCAATTTCTCCTTAATGGTAAGCTTTATTCTCTTGATGCCCATTGTTGCAAATATGCAGCAAACCATTTGTATGGTTTGTAAATTATTCCTTGTTCCTGTTACAACATACCCCTAATGGTGTATTTGTTTTTTGTTTTTTTACTGATTTTAACTGTTGCAAAAAACCTGCAATAAACCTACATTACTATTTATTATCAAAATAAACAGAAAGCTTAAAAATTTCCATTTGGCAACTTAAAGGCAAAACAGTGTATACATCATATATACATCAATATATATATTTAACCATCAAGGGATTAATGTTTGAAACCTATTATAATCTTTATATTTTATTCATGTGGAGTGGAACTGTAGAATGATTGAAGCATATATCTTAAGTAATTTTCAGGTTTTGATTTAGTTTAAAAACCTCATGGTTTTCCAAAATGCATGGGGATAAGGAAGAGGTTTGAACAGGTGTTGTGTTTTGTATGTAGTGGAGACTGGGGACAGTTACAATAATTTTTAGACTTGACTCTTTTACGTGAAGATGGCTTGGATTAGAGGAAAGACATTTTATACAATAAACTTACATCTTTATGTTATACCCAAAACCTTAGAAAGCAGAATAGAGGGCATTTTTTAAATAATTTGCATCTGAATGCATAGAGTCAGATGTTACAACGACCCCAGACCCAGGGAGAGTTGCAGATGTTTGGTTGCAACATGTTACAACTACAATATATTGCACTGTTAATAAAATCTATATTGTAATGCTATTTTTATGTCAAAATATGTTAGAACAATTAAGTATTACTAATCAGCTTTGATTTATTGGCCTGGAGGAGTAGGCCTTCTATGCATATGTCAAAGATTAAACTGATATAGATTACAGTATATTTTTAATTGACAGGAATAATGGAAACATTAACTGTTATTTTGTCAATTATCAGCACATGCATTCATTAAGAAAAATCTACGCTTGGAAAACTGGTTTTCAGACGGAAGATATCTATTTAACTATATAAATACAATTAATGTGCCTTTATTTGAAAGAATATAATTGTATCAAACAATATAATTGCATCATTGACAGATTTTAATACAAATATATGTATAGTTTTATATAGTTACACTACTGACTGCATCCTCCTCAGTCTATGAACATGTTTGTGAAAAGGCATGAACACAGACACGTGAACACATAAACATTCAGCTTCTGCCTCAACTGGATGGTGAAAATGAATGAAATGCAGTATATGTAGGTAAAAACTAATGAACAAATGTTAAAGCATGTAATTAATTGATCTGTTTTATATTGATAAAACGGAGGCACAGAGATCTCACACAAGTTTTATCATAATAAACCTGGACTAGCCAGTAGATGATCTCGATACAAGCTAATCATATTAGCCAAGTGTAAACTTTTCTCTGATTTACAATAGGTTTGAGCTAAATCTTTACAATAGTCACAATATAAAAAAATGATCAAAATGGATAAAAAAATAATTTCATACCCAAAAAAGAGTTTATTTATTTTATTACATTTTGTAGCAGCTCTTTATTCTGCTTGCCATTCTCTGCAATGGGGGTTGGGCATCCAATTGGCCATGCTATATCACTTTGTTTTTTTAATATTTGCCTACATTTAGGCTAATTTAAACACAACATAGACTAAACTGAGTTTTTGGATCTTATCTCCAGCTAATTTCAATCTATCCCCATCTGTGCATTATTCCAAATAAAGTACTGAAAATGCTCTTTCTTTGCGTTTTCATAAATAAAGCTCTAAAACAATGTTTTGAATAATTTATTTTGTCACAGCTGAATAATCCAGTCCAGGTTTGACCTTTTTTTTTTTTTTTTTTTTTTAACAAGGATCTTTAAATCAGATGGCAATTTAAGTGCCATTAGCCTACCAGGTGGCTTTCTTTCCTTATATAATTACACTTTCCACAACATGGGAGATGTTCACTCAGGGCTGATAAGAGAAGGAAACAATCAACGCTCTGTGAAGGAAGAAAATCACCTAAGAACCTGCGGAGTTAAATTTGATGCCTTTTCATTATAATAATCTTTGGTTTAGGGTCTTCAAATAAAATATTGATCTACTTATGGCACATCTGAAAGAGAACTTTTTTCAACCTATGCCCTGTTATATCAAATCTTCACTGCTAAAGCTGTTAAATTATATTTGTAGTTTTTATTTGTTCATTATTTCAGAAGTTCAATTCACTAATGGAACATGTTAGTATATTTCCTTGCTTGGAGTTATTTATGTGCTATTTTAAATAAAGGAATCATTTATAGAATATTGGTTATTAACCCGTGGCCTCCTGCATCATATTCTGTTAAGGACCTCATCCAGCCTTGGACAGGAAGATGTAATGCTGCTGTCTCTTTTTTTTTCTCTCTGCAGATTGCACCGACAAGAGCCAGAGCTCAACCCCGGCCTCCAAGCGCACACGCACCGCGTACACGAGCGCGCAACTGGTGGAGCTGGAGAAGGAGTTCCACTTCAGCCGCTATCTGTGCAGGCCACGGCGGGTGGAGATGGCCAGCTTGCTCAACCTGAACGAGAGGCAGATCAAGATCTGGTTCCAGAACCGAAGGATGAAGCAGAAGAAAGACCAGAGAGAGCAAGGTCTCACCACAAGCACCAGCTCCTGCTCCCCCCCATCCTCCCCCTCCGCCGCCGGCAGCCCCACTTTGGCGAGTCTGGGTTATGTCCATCTTGGTGTAGATTACCAGCCGGCCTCCCCTCCTCTCAAACAACAGCGGCAGCCGCAGCAGGCTTACCCGATAGGGTTCTCCAAATACACAGCCCCGAGCTTCACGCACGACCCGCAGTTTGATACAGCGCAATGCAACACGCAGGAAAACCCGCAAACAGCAGACTCAAACATGGGATTGGATGATCATTGCGGGTCCTACTTCTTCCAGGGCTGCGCAACTCAGGACAGAATCATGCAAGCTCCAAAACTGACTCATCTCTAAGATAAATCGCATCTGCATGCATAAATAAAAAAATAGTGTTTATAAATCATTAGAATATTTGTTTTTTGTTTTTTTTTAATTAACGCATGCGTCCATCAGATTTATTTGCCCATCTTAAGTAGTTTAGCTGAAATATAATTTGGATGCAATTTAAAATAAGTCCCGTTAAGGATTCAACTAGTCTAAATGGTTTATTTTACACTTAAATGTCTCTTAAGGATCACCTAAACTTGTGCTTAACTGTAGGGCCCGCTTAGGAGGATCATTTTACGAGACCCTCATATTATTATAACTCTTAAGCGTTGTAGAAAAAGAAAAAAAAGCCACCCTATCTAGCTCGTAAACGGGTCTTTGTTTCTTTTATGGCTCAAAATGGACCAAACAAGCTGTCAGCGTTTAAAAGGAATCGTGATGGATCACTGGATTCACTGCGCTGACGGTTTCAGGGACCCTCATTCAGACAAGTCTGGCACACATAAAAATGGAGATTCGGATTCCAGAGCAGAGAAAGAAAACATTCCCCACGAAATAAACAAAGATGCAAATAAATTAAATAGTAAAATAGCAGTAAAATAAATATAATTTCTAAAAATAATGAAAACAAACAAAAATGCAGCCCTAATAAAGGTGCCATATTGTTATTTTTAACACTATTTCTTTCTACATTTTCTTTCGTTATAAATATTGCTTTTAATGATAATTATTACTTTTGATGAGAAGATCCAAACATTTTTTTATTTAATTATTTATTTTTTGTTTGGAGCGCCTCTTTACAGCAGATGTGTCCTGATGTTTGTGTTCCCCTCAGATAGATGAGCAGCTTTGATTGAAGTGTTTGTCATGTAAATGCGTCCCTTTGATGGACGAGCCTGCAGACTTGACAGAGTGCTGTGGCTTTCTTGCCATTGGCGTTTGGCTGGTCACATGGTGCGGTCAGGACGGTGATATGAGGGTGGAAGGCAGTTTGTTCTGTTTTTAAAAGCTTTGACATACTACCTAAGGTCAGGGCACAAGGAGCGACCATTAATGACGGCTCACCCCTGATCAGGTCGAAAACAAATACACCAGGCCCTGGTTACAGGATGAACTCCTACTTAGACTATCAGGTGTGCAGCCGGGGCGCAAATATATTCAGCGCGAAAGCTGGATATTCTAATTTGAATCACGGTTATTCGTCGGCCAGCTCTTGCGCAACAAGTGATAGTTACGCACCGGACGCGTGTTTGGTGCCCCATCAGGGTCCGAACGTCCCTCTGCACCACCAGCCGCACGTTAATCTGGATCTACAGTTTTCGGCAGCAGGAAACCCCATGTATGGCTCAACTCTGGATTACGGACACCACCAATACGGCCTTGCCCCCGACCAGGATCGGAGCTTCATGCATGCACAGGTCTCCCCTCTCGGGACGAGCGCGGCTCCTTACCCCGGGGACGCCATCGGGCCTGGCCAGTATATGCAGTACCCGGATCAGAGGCAGCAGGAGTATCCGGAGAGTGTTTATAGGAGGCTACCACCACAATGTAAGGAGAAGGAGCAGGGAAATGTGGAGGAGGCTTCCAAAACTTTCGATTGGATGAAAGTGAAGAGGAACCCCCCTAAAACAGGTTGGATGTTTATTTATGTTTTATCCAAATGATGCGTACATTACGCGTAAAGCACAACGCGATGCGATTAACTCTTACGTTTTCCATTCACATTTTACCCTCATCATCAGCTTCATCGTGTTTCTCTCCATCCACCCCCCTCTCTCCTCTCCTCATCCCGCAGCCGTTCTGTCGGACTTCGGGGTTGCGGGCCAGCCCAACGCGATCCGCACCAACTTCACCACCAAGCAGCTGACGGAGCTGGAGAAGGAGTTCCACTTTAACAAGTACCTGACGCGGGCGCGGCGGGTGGAGGTGGCGGCCAGCCTGGAGCTCAACGAGACCCAGGTGAAGATCTGGTTCCAGAACCGCAGGATGAAGCAGAAGAAGCGGGAGAAACTCGGCTGCGTCCTGGTCAGCAGCAGCCCACCAGAGAAACTCTCTGAAACCCCCTCCCCGAACACTAAAGTGGAAAAACCATGAACTGTGAAGGGACTTTAGAAAGCAGTTTTCCACATTATGTTGCAACCATTCCAGGGGAAGTTAAATACCAGGACTTGTGAATCTAACAGGGTATGACTGGATGCATCTCAGTGCTTCCTAAAAATATTGTTTTCTTGATTCCTTTATGTTTACCTCCATCATTGCTCTAAGCTGTGTTTTGTGTTGGAGCACTGATTTCCTCAGTGTCATCGTTTGCACTATTTATTTACAGGGTATTTTTCCAACACTTGTTCAGATGATTTAGCTTAATAAAGATAGTCAAATATCAAGAATCATTGCAATTATTGTTGATGAAAGTTGACTTTATGTTTCAAGAGTTATAAAGATAAATTCCATAATTCTATAAAAAGGATTTCTGTTGCCTCAATCAGTGCATCACATATTACAATCTAAAACAACCAGATTTTCCTCTTTTACAACATTTATTAAATGAATCAAGACAAAGAACTCCTGCAACTTTCAGCTATTATACTACCATTAACTTTTTTGGTTTAATAATTATCAGATAAAAGTAGCAACATATGCATAGACAACAGGATTCTTATGTGATCCCTTCCTGTTCTATTGTTTATTATCTCTATTAGAGAATAGGATGAATTTGCTCATATCACGACTCCCTAGAACAAGAAAACCTAATCAGATCGCATTGAATCTCAAATAAACCAGAAAATGTTAGAAGCCCGATCGGCAAATCTCTAATTTGTTTGTAAATTTTGAATTTATTTGACCCCAACAATGTCAGCTTGCATAATGTGACAAGAGGAATCTTTCACAACACACAGGGTGGTTCTGAGTGACCTTTTCACCTCCAAATACCTCCAGGGACTCTAAACATGACAACAAACTCCAGGAAGCCGAGTTTGGCTCTTGATTTGTTACCCAAATTTAACGCCGCCACTTCTAACCATGGATTTATTTCTATCTGACCTGATTTATACGAAATGTTATTTTAAAAGTCACATTCTAAATAGAAACAGCAGCTATAGCGGCTTCTAGATCCTGACCACCTTGTTTCCCCTCATCTTAAAGGGGGGGCACAGTTTCAATATTTGCTCTGGGTGATGGGTTTGCACACACACACGGTTTCTGCCCCAACAGCACTGGCCTGTTGATGCCCTTCTTCTCCAACGCTGAGGTTCACACAGAGTTCAGGCACAAATGAATGCAGAGTCAATCTGTCAAGTCGGCGGAGTGTTTCTGGCGGAGGAAACTCTCAGGCTTTTACGCTTTAGATTTTCACAGGTACTGCTTCTGATATTTAGACTCTAAAGCAGTACGAGCATTTTTTTGTGTGGCCGTGATCAAGAATGTGTGAACTTTAATCTATTTAACGCGCCTGGAAAACATGCATTTAGGAAATGGAAATCAGAAATCATTTGAAACACATTTACATGAGCCTGCAGTTCTTTCACAACTGTATTAAAAATTAATAGGGTTCCTTGAATAGAACTTACAGCTAAAAGACCGCACGACCCATTACAGTAAATTAGGAGAAACGCTCAGATGTAATGTATTACTTAACTAGGCCAAAAGCCTGCTAATCAGATGAGTGGCAAAGGCTGAGGTTGTGGTGGTGTGATATGGTCAGTACTGACAGATCCAACAACAATAACAAAAAGAAAAAAGGGGGTCGGTCCAGAAAACAAGTGTGGGATTTCTTTCCAGGGGTGTGATCCCTGCCATCTCTGGAGGTAATACCTCAACGCTCCCTGCAGGCTCTCCATCTGGAGGTGTCAAGAGTTGGTTGTGCAGCCAGCGCCGAGGAGACAGATGTTCAGCTGGGAGAAAGAAGGAGGCGAGCAGCACCGGCCTCCTTGGCTTCTCATGGAGGACAAGGAGGAGGAGAAGACTCTAATAGAAAGAAGATATAACTCTCCTTATAAATCATATAAAACACCCAGCAAACACCTGAACAAACAGGGCAATAATAAAAAAAAAACAGAATCTATCTAACGATATCTTCATCCCCCCTCTCCTCCTCCTCCTCCTCTGCTCTTTGAGGTTTGAGGTCAGCCTGGTGCAGTTTGTACCCCATGCTGCTTGCAGTTGTTGCAGGCTCTTTTACAAGTCTATTGCCAGGCTCACTGCCTTGGGTTTCTACCAGTTCCTCTGTCGCATGTCACTCTGCGGGGTCCCGAAGGCTTCAAAGGGAACTGGATCCAGTATTCATGCCATAACAGGGGGGGTTTGGAGATGCCACACAGAGGTGATTTTTTTTTTATTGGCAGGTATCAATGTAAGCTTTTTTTAAATCAAAGCCATTTGTCCCTCCGCAATAAAATGGAATAAAATCATGTGAAGTTGGATTTTGTGACTGCACCAGCCATATTTCAGAACTCCAATTTGTAGTTAATAACATCTATATGTTTGAATTAAATTAGATAATTAAACATTTGAACGTGCAGAAAACCCCCCACAGCAACAGGAATAAAAGGCAGGAAACAGTGAAACGATCACTGGATAGAAACTATAATAATAATAATAATCTAATTTAAGTCATTTCCCATAAATTGTTCCTTTTAAAGCTTTCTGGATGTCTTTGATCTTGAAACGTAACACTTTTCTTTGTCAGTTGTGAGATTGAACTGAATATCTTTGGTTTCCAGGCTGCTGATTGGACAAAGACAAATGATGATGTCACCTCAGCATGCAAAAAATAAAAAGTCTCCTTCTGTATTTCTATTATCTTTTGCTTGTTAAATCGCAATCTATTTAATCCAAAATAGACTTAAACTTAAACCAGAGTTTCAAGTTTTTTTTTTTTTTTACAAATTTAGCAACCTAGATATTAGTCTTCCTCTAAACTCAGTAGAAATCACAGAGAAGGCAAAACACTTGAGATCAAGACCTATAACTTGTTTTATAATGATTATAACTTTTTACTTACTAAAGTGGGCAATTAAAGCATTAATAAGACTATCTGGGGGGTTATGTTAACAATGGAAGAGCTGCACAGCTCTTCAGCTCAGGTAGGAGAATCTGTTGATAGCAAAGCTTAAACGTTCTGAAAATTCAGCACCTATTGTAAATATAGTGGTGGCAGAATCATGCTGTGGAAATATGCTTCTTCAGCAGAGACGATAAAACTGATAGGAGTTAATGGGAAGAAGAAGAACATACGCAATGGCCGTGGTCAAGAACCTGGCTACACGTGTTTGAAGGTCATTTTTGTAATGAGAATCCCAAAAAAGGCACAATAAATTATAGGAAGGAAACGTAGAAGAGACAAAACAATAAGACAGTTATAGAACAATTTATTTATTTTCATTCTTGGATGTTTAAATCAACTCTTTACAGTTCTTTGATTTCTTCAAAGCAAGCGATGAATCTGAGTTGAGACGGGCTTGGAATGGCACACTATCTTTCTCCTTTGTTTTGGCACTGGGCCTCCTTACAGCCCAGTCTGGGTAGCTACTGACAACCATCCCCCATCCGAGTCAGGCTCGATTGGATCTGGAAACGGCAGCTGATCCGAAGCTCCTGCCTCCTGGATCTCCCCTTGCGACTGAAACCTTTCCCCACTCCATCAGCACGGTAACCGAGAGAGACAAGTGACTTGGCCAGGGTTAACGTCTTAATACTCCCTGGGATTGCCTCCAGGATCCAAATGGCTACCCCTAATAGTTTTCCTCCTCTGCGTCTCTGTCAGGCGCCTATGACTGCACACTGTTTGAAAAATAAATAAATAAAAACAAGACCAGCTGAGAGGCAGAGTAACGAAGCAGCACCATGACATAATGAGGGGCGGTGAGGAAGAAGAGAGCACCAGTGAGCGTTTTGAAGGGATACTCTGCATGGAGAGCCTGCAAACTTGGAATCAAAGCGGCCTGCTTCCTTTAGAGCCCAGGAGGGGGGAAACCAGAACTCAATCAGTGTCACGTCGCATGGTTCAAAGCGGCCAATTCGACGCTGCCAGGAGGTTGAGAAATGCAAGGTGACAGTTCATTTTACCAGTGACAGTGTGTCGGTCTCGCTCGCTGCTTCCACAGTCAATTTCCAGCGAGCAGTGAAGGTTGCTGGAGACAGACACCTCCTCCTCCTTCTCTTCATCTTCACCACCGCCGCTCTCTCATCGACCCTGCTCTGCTTTGTATTCCAATTAACTGGACAGGGAGAGCAGCAGCAGGATCACAAGCAAAATCCAGGCACGTCTTCACAGTTTCCACCAATACCAATAGTGCTCGTTTCCCTTTTTCCTCGGATTACAGGAGCCGTTTTGGAGTCTTCCTTCTAACCTCCCTCCAGGGACAATGTCTTGGTCATGAAAAATAGGTCCGTCTCACACATTCATACATCATATATAATAGAGGTGTGTAATCGCTCAGTCGAGGCAAAGCAGTGTGAGCTCTAACTGCCATCCTTAACAGACACCTCAAATAATGCTGAATTAATATTTTGAAATGGCTCATATATTCTAACATAATACAATCCGAATGATTTTCCATTCAGCGCTTTCAGGGCTAACATTGATCCAAACCGCAGTAACAATCCAAGTCAGTCAATTTCAGGTAGACTGAAGGTTCAGGTTTTTCTGTCCTCGATCCATCATCATGTTTTTTTTTTTTGTCTTTCCTTAACTTTGCCTGCAACAAAAGCCCCCCCTTTCTTACTCTGACATATGTTTGAGCAATGGGTGGGTCAAGAGCACAATGATTCACAGGAAATCCAAACGGCAAACTGCTTCCTTTTTATCTCCTCAAGAAATGCAAATATTTACAGCAAACATTTTTTTTTTTTTTGTGATTTAAGGTCGCATTTAAGGTTAACCATTCAGGATTTTTGAAGGTTTTCACACCTCAAAGTATACTGACCCCGCTTGAACTTTTTCACATTTTGTCAGCTTTTAAACACAAGTATTTGATCTGAGCATAATTCTAATAACAAACAGCAATTACAAAGTATATTGCAACCACATTCTATGAAAGGTCACCTATTCGGCTATGGATCACGCCTTTTATCTTCACGTGCAACCCTAAGATTTATATGCATAAATAAAAATATGTAAATTAAGGCTACGTTCAAGGCTTTAACAATTTAACACACTTGCACAAACCAGGAAAATGATACCCTTCTTAAACTTTACCACATCTGCAAGTTTCTGGGTTTAAAAAGTCTATTACTGTGTTGGATTTAGTTAGTCCAATAAATCTGGGTTAACTATAATTCATAGAGTTAGGATAATTATCATTGAGGATGTGTGACTTTATTACACCCTAATATTACCTGCCAGTTGCATGTTAGAATTAATGTTTTCCCAGTAGTTTACAGTATC